CATAGTTTTACATTTAGAGTCGATTCTCGCAACCAATCAAATCAAGGCTTTCTGTATCACGTTTTCACCTATGGTATATGTCATATTCACCTCTGGTATATGGCATATTCTGCAAGTGAGTATGACATATTCCGCAGGTGAGTATGGGGTATTCACTGAAATCAATGTATCGCATATTCACGCATACTCACCTGTGGAATATGCCATATACCACAGGTAAGTATGGCATATTCACCCGTATTACATAATCAAGGTGGTAGGAGCAAATGAGAACCCATTTAGATTGAAAATTCTGATAGTTAGCCATCTTGATTCTCAAGGTTTCCAACTGTATAACGACATGGAAGATGATAATAAGCTCTATTAAATACTTACTATGGAGGTGATGACTTATGACATCAGAAAGAGCTTATCATAAATAAATGAAACTGGACAGAAACTTAATGAATAGTTAAAGAATACTTGACTGGTTGAAGGAGATGGTAAAAGGTAAAGTGAAAGTGAAATTGATTCCAATAATCAAGATTTTAAAAATCTACTTGTATGTTTTGGGGCATAAGGAGGTTACTTCGCTGGCGCTTCTTAACTCTTCTATCTACAGGGATACAATTGTTTACTGTCCAAAGTACAATCAATTCCCTTGATACTATGTGAAGTATCAGGTGCTAGACTAGCAGTGAAACATTATCTCCAATTCCGTAGGGACAATAGGGGCGTAGCCAGCTTTCGTTCAGTGGGAGTTCGATCACCAAAAAAAATTCGGTTTTCAGTCAGGGGGATGCGATTGTGGCATAAAAAAGCTAAAAATTAAGATATATCCTGAATTTTACAAATCTTGATTCAACTACCTTCAAAAAAGGGCTAGAAGCTTAAAATAAAAAAGCATTTTAAAACTCTTTTCTTTTATCTCATGGTCATATTTTTATTGGTTATGGGAGGGAGGGGGGTGGGATCCCATTGCACCCCCTGGCTATGTCTATGGACTCTATACTATAAAGCATGTACACCCCCTCCATAAGTTTAGCAACTGGAAGTTATTATATGATAGCATATCAAAGTCTGTCAATGTTTAAACCTTGATTATGTTCCTTATTACCATATTTCAGATACTTCGATTCCATATGCCAAAAATAAACAGGCTTTAATAAGTGATTCAAAGGGGTTTGAGTTGCCAAACTTATGATGGGAAGTGCTATCATTCATATACATAAACCATAACTACATGAACAGTATTAGGAAAGAAAGGCACCTGAAATACAATTTTGAAAAATGTTTTTAGTACACATACATGTATTACACATACATGTATTTCCAATTGCTGACCACACATACCCTAAATTGTTTTATGGTGTATGGCAATGATAAGCTGTAAAAATAAAAAATGGTAGATAATGAATATGTTTAGCATATTATGATGTCACATACAGTGTTAAGATTTATTTAGAATAACACTTTTTGCTATAATGATACACATTTTCTATTTGACCCTAGCAACAAGTTCAACAACTGAAGTGTAAGCTGCCACGCCCCCTTTCTTGAATTTTTAGGGGAAGGTAAAGTGAAAAATCAGAAAAAATAGACACTTGTAGTTTTTATTGAAACTTATGCAAGAAATATTTGCTAACATCATCAGTGAAGTTTTTAATCAGGTTTTATACACTATAGGCCCTTACTGTTTTTTTAACGACTGATTAACTATCGACTGATTGAGAAATTTTGAAGAGAAATTATGTTCTTTTAGGGACAAATTATCCCATATCTCTATCAAATTTTGTTGGATAAGACCCAAATTTTCAGGAATTCTTCATACACGCCTCATTAATATATTAACAATGTTTCATTATAATTGCATCATCCTCAAATGAGATATTAAATAGTTTCAAGCATATGGTCAAACTCTGACTCGAAAATGATAAAATTTGCTGACTCAGCACTTTTGAGCCTGCTTTGCAAGGGTTCACAAACTTTTTTTCACATGCCTTGGGGTCCCCTACAAGAATCTAAAGTCAAATTAAATCTAGGTGTTTTGGACACAAATGGCCTTGGCCGTAGCACTAAAGCATTTTTCTCCAATTTTGAAAACCCAAGGCAGTATTTGCATACCCTTCTGTTGAAAGCCCATGTTCTAGGTGAGTGAAAAATCATCTCGGAACTCTTCTCCGGTTTAAAATTAAGTTTCCAAGTGTTATACCATGGGCTTTCAACTATCGTGGTTATAACATTCTTCTACTTTAATTAAATTGAATTTTACCACTGCATCTATTTGTTGTGGTTGTTTTGGGTCAAAAGGGATGGTGTAATGAAGTATCATCTGCATTAATGAAGCAATGACAATGTGCTTAAATCATATTCAAGCACCTATCTCGTTATTATTCATTATGATACTATTCATAGTTTTTTTCATTCAACTACCATCTAGAAACTGCCAACAAAATATGAAATGAGTGAGGGTATTTAAGACTGTTTTGATTGGCTAGAATTTGGTATATCATGTCAAGTAAAATGTGAACCAAATAATACCTATTTTCATATGTGTTTTTCAGGATATGGGGATGCTTAAGTGTGCTAACGTAGTATGTCTTCAGGATCTCAAGAAAGGAAAACCCATCAGCAAATCCTGGTTGGAAGAATGCCCATTGTTGTTCGAAATTGTGCAGAAATAATTGCAATGTTGAACCTATAAGGCGTGGAGTACCACACTTATGGTTGACCTTGTCGAAGATGCAGCTATCACGAACTTTATGTTAATTAAAAAAATTGTGTAAACAGTTGAAAATTCCATAGAGTCGTACTTGTAAGAATGAAAATGAAAAATGATCTGAAACACGATAAGTTAGATGAATAACATTTTTAATACGGAATCATATTTCCAATTATTGTATCCTGACATTTATCTCTATGTGATTTGATTATGTCAATTATTGACGCAGTTGAGGACAATTGAACGTTTAACACTTTCCGGTGTTGTATTCTTGATGTTCAACAATAGTCTGTACCAAATGGACGATATAGTTACCCCAGAATGTGTCGTTTTCATTAAATAGGAACGATTTTAATTCCGTGACGATTTTAATATTTTGGAGATTATTTTTATTTTGTAAATTAATCGTGGTTATACAATACATTAAATGAAACTGGTTCCCAATAGTTATCCTATTCTACACAGTGAGCTTGCCTAGCGTGATACGGTAGATAAAAATACTTAACACTGTGGTGTCACACGGTTGTGTCAAAAAACCACTGAAGGTATCGAAACAGATTTTAGACAGTCATATGTTGGACTGTGGCTTTTTTGAAGATTTAAAAAGGTGCATATGTAAGGCCAATGTATTTTCTAAAGGAAAAGAACTCATATATATGATCAAATAAGTTAGACTTCGGCATAGGAAAGGTGCAAACACGCCCACCATCATGTTTTCAAAAATGTTTTCCTGATTTTCACCCCCTTCCACTCGTGTTTTTTCAATGTTTTATGCATCAATATGTTGCATTTGTAGACACAGTTAACCGCTTAAAAGGAAAATATGTTTTAAGTGGGATGGAGTGGAAAACAATATGTCCCATGTTATTTTCCCATTGGGAAATGTCATGCGATCCATTGTTTTCAGCTAAATTTTGGTCACCCAGAATTGATACCTTTAAAATCCCTGCTCGTATTCTTACGTATAGACGACGATTTATAAGAGTGGAGACTTTAAGCTTGCGATGTTTTTCACAACGTAATTGTGAACGCAAACTCCATGAATCAATATTAATTTTTATTGAATGATTTGAAGTCCAACACAGGATATATTCTGCTCGAGAAGTTCTGTATTGGAACGAAACGAAGTCGAGTGCCAATACAGAATATCGAGAGCAGAATATATCCTGTATTGCACTTCAAATCATTCCATAACGTTTTCATCGTATGATCTTAGTCCAATACATTTTACCCAGGAGATAATCCCGAAATATTCTGTATTCTCTGTATTGCTACTGAGATTCTCCCCTCCGTACCAATATTTTCTTATTGCTCCGGAGATGATCAAAGATCATTTTACAGATCATACGATAAAATAATGTGTATAGCGCGCATACTCAACAAGTGCTACTTAGTCTGCTTCAGATACCCAACCAGCTTCAGTTTCGTGTTTATAACGGGGGATTTGCAATTTCACGTTGGTGTCTACGGGAATCATTATATTCATGTCTGTTGAATACTATTCTGGCAATTTTGATTTCGATGCGCAGTATAATGCTTTCTGAAGAAAAAGATGTATGTCATACATGTTTTAGGTCCAAATATACTACGAAACGAGCTTGTTTAAAATATGTACGTACTCATGACATAGAAAACCGGCTATATAACTATCAATGGTATATTACACGATGATGTGTAGTCTTACACCCCAGTCACATTTCCTACGGCGACCTTGCGGTCTATCATTTCTGCGGCCAGTAACATTTCTACGCTCGCCGTGGAATTTCTAAGCTCTCATACTTTTGCAGTCACATTTCCCACGGCAGCCGCACGGTGAATTTTAAATTTCTGTTGATAAATAATACTTTTTTCATTTTTTTTACATCGGGACAATTTATAAATAAAAGTGCTAGGATGTAGCCTAATATCAAATGAAAAGTGATCGTGACACATTGACAAATAATGATTCAATCTTGTTGAGCCAATTGATTTCTACGGAGACCTCAGAAATGAACAAATATTATAACTCTGAGTTATAATTTCTACGGCGACCCTGTTACACCCCAGTCACATTTGTCGTACGGAGGCTTAAGTAACGGAAACGGGCTAAGTAGACAACCGAACGATTGTTATGTGAGAAATCAGAAAACTACATTAAAATGGGGTTATTTATAAGAAAAGGTTGCCGTTTCGATTTTATATGCATTGCTTAAACTCTCCAGGCAATATCATACTTTTGGACGTATTGAACAGCGCAATGAATGATGTCGTAATCAAACGCTTTTTAACATTTTACGGGAATAAGTGAGTTGCGAAATCTCTCCATTGATACTATCAGTTTGCAGATACACGTTATTTTTGTTGTTTTGTTTTCTACATTACAATGTATACATCAAAGCATTTTAGCGAATTTAAATAACAAGATCAGAGTCTTAAAATAAAAAAGATTTAATATTCGTTAGCTCCATTATACGCATAATTTTGATAACCATATTGATCTTCGCCATCAGCATATCCGTCGTCTCTGTAGTTAAAGTCATCACCTTCGTTACCATAGTATTCATTATCGTAATTTTGGTCAGCATCCTGACCTTCTACAAATTGATCGTTTGCATTGTCATAACCGTCGCCTTCAAATTCATCATCATATTCACCATCGCCATTAACTTCAGGTTCGATATCTTTTTTCATTTTGTCAAAATCTTTTTGTGCATCAATGTGTGACTTCGAGGCCCGATAACAGCAACACAAAACACACAACCCAAAACATCCCACAATAAATCCTGCGGCAGAAAAACTTAAAACGCGGTTAGCGATGAATCTCTCCCACGCAGTTAGCGGCGGAATGACCTTGACATTGATTCTGTTTGTAACCCATGTCCTGTTGGTTGCTTGATCAGTGATTGTACAGACCCAAAGACCAGCATGTTCCCCTCGTACATGACCAACACTACTTTTGACCATATGAGGTGGAATTGATTTATAATCTTCATGCACGGTGCCATTGTGATACCATATCAGTCTAGCTCTAGGATACATCAGTCCCAAAATGGCTCCTTTGCAGGGAAGCTTAAGTGAAGAACCAAATCTTGCGAGCATCTGATACTGCGTTGTGTTAATCGTCACTGGGAAAATATTGATAATTTGTGTACTACCCGGTACGTATTCGAATTGACAGCCATAGATTCCACCGTCATCTTTACCCATATTTTTCAAAGTGAGAACTCCTTCGGCGTACTCCATTTTCTTTTTGTTCATTTTCAGCTCTTTTCCGTCCTTGCTCCAAATCTGTGCCATGTTTGGATATTTTTCTTCATAGAGGTTATCTAGATCAGTTCGACAATCAAGGTCGACCGATTTTTTCTCATCCACAACAAAATTATGGTAACTAGTGGCCAGATGTGCCTTTGTTGCATCCAATAAAGCTTTGTCTAACGGTGCCATACATGGTATGTCGTTACATCTCTTTTTGATTTGCCTTTTTAGTCCCAGGCAATTTTCACCTCTTTTGCATTTCCTTGTTCTGACACCTATAATGAATAACGAGAATATTGCTACTCGTATTATATTTTTGAGTGCTGTTGTGTCACGTACATTTTTATTTGTGTAGAGCCTAATAAGCATACATCCATAATTTTGATCCTAAATAATTCAAAATATTTTCATAAATATATGCAACGTGTGTTATCAATGCATGAATTAAAATATAAAAGCCGGCTAATTCAGTGAAGCTTGTCATGCTATATGACTGGTGAGCATTTTTGAGTTTTTACATTTTCAGAAAATACCGTTTGTGTCTCGAGATCATTATAAATAAAAAAAATATTTCGGAGACTTATTTGGGATCCCAATAGCAGACCAAACCTTCAATGTGAATGCACCCATTTGATAATCGTGTATTTGAGAAAATATGAGATGGAGTTTTATCCCTAATGATACCTAAATGAGGATTAACACAGGCCTTGGGAGATTATCGATAACTGCACTTAGATCACTTTTATATCTCTGAGAGACGAACGCGATTATCATTGAAACATTCAGCTTTCTTCATCTTGATTGTAATGAGCCAAATACAAAATTGTTTTGATCAATTTGCTTCTCTTAGACTGTATAGACTATTTGTTTTTCATGTGACATGTATTTTGAGACTCATGAACATTTGTAAAATAGACAACTACACTCAAAAATACAAAATCTGATCAAATGCATCGCTTTCGTTTTCGTTCCCATTTTTAATAATAAATATAAATGTAATATATGAATGGCCAACTTAACTACCACAAAGAATTGTGACGTACCTGAACCCCCACCACATGTTACGGGGCATGACCAATCACTCCAATCACCCCATCCTGCTTCCTGAGCCTCTCTTACGCATAATGCACTGCACGTTTCGGTTCTCGCTTCAGCGTATGTCTTCACTGGGCAAGTAAAATCTGCGTAACTGTCCATTTTGCCTTGTTGGCATTCACGGATATGTTGGACATTGCCTTCAGGAATGCAATAGCCATCTGATCTTGTGCATGTACCAACTTGTTGCCATGGAGACCACATGCCTGTAAACTCACCTGGTCCGTCACACTCTGCAGCAATGTAGCATTGTTTCGTTCCTTTAAATTCATTACCACAAACTGAATATTCTTTAGGTTCACAATCGTCTTTGACGCAATGGAGACACTGTCTGTATCTTTCTTGAATTCCATTTTTCTCATTACAATTGCGGGCACATGTTGGCGTCCATGGCTGCCATGCCGACCATTTTCTGAACCCATAACAATGTTCCAAAACAAAGCAGACCAGAATGACCACGAGCATCTGATCGCTATTGACTTTCATCCTTGTAGATTCAGAGATTATTGTTCAGCTCGATGTATGGTGACCCCATTGTCGTATTGTTATTAATTTCATTGTCCTGGCTCAATTTTTCTTTCAATTGTTTTCCGAGATGAAAAAATAAATTCTTCATCCCAGGTTGTTCTAATTTGTTTCTTATTTCAAATCTTTGTTTATGGAATACAATCGTTTGTTTCCAACAGCTGTCATGGAAACAATCACTGTCTGTTTGATTTGTTGTTACGATACAATTGAATCAACGTGTGCCACAGCTGACAACTATGACGTTGTTTAAATTTAATGTGTTTACAATATGACGTAATAAACTTAGGTATATGGTTGTTGTGATTGAAAAAAGAAAACAAACATTGGATTTAATAACAGAACACTTCAAAATGAATCTTAATGTGATACTACTCTAAAGGTGATGGTGAAAACTAAACATATCGCTCATGACTCAGCCATGGTTGGAGTGCAGAAAAAGACCACCATCGCTATGAAACCCAAGAGCGATCATACAAAATGCGAACTACCTATCATCAAAGACGCTAGGGAAAGATATAAAGTCAGAAAATATGAAAAACTTAAGAAAGAGAAACTAAATCAGAAGGAACATGTAAAACTGAATTTACCGATTCCCACCATCAACCTGGATGACCAATATTTCCATTCAGCGAGTAAGCGATGGTATCCAAAGGATGAACTTAAACTTCCCCATGTACCATCTGGTCTTGACTTGAGACGTACTAGTGACATTTCAGTTCGATCAGACAACAGTCATGATTCCGTTTTCTCTCTTGGTGGTTTTCACTCCTCCAATGAAAATATAGATGGCAGTACCACTCAATCCAAAACGAGACGAATCAGCTTGAAACCTGTGCAAAGACCCCAGTCAGTTGGTTCTGTAAGTGTACCTGTCGAGACAAAACCTGACAAGCCACCCGATAAACACCTTCTCCATGTTGAAGACATAGAAGTTATGAAACCACCATCAATGAGCGATGAAGCGTTGACATTGAAGGATGCGTTGTTGAGAAAGACAAAAACGGGTGATGGGAAAATTAAAGGCAAGTTCAAAAAATTGGCAAAGATGGTGAAAACTAATTTAATTTGGGCAAAGGACTTGGACGATAAACATCAAGAAGAAGAGGTGGATCAAACATTTGTGGTAAAAACTGACAAGGAGGCATTGTCGTTTGATTTGAACAACTTTAGAGCCAGCAATAAATCCTATGGCGGAATAAGTGTGAGGGCAAAACGTATCTTGGCCAAGAACGCTCTGGAAAGATCAGAAGGAGACCTGCTACATCTCAGAGATGTCATTGACCGACTGAAATGCTTTGAGAAATATTCTAGGAAGATCAAACATGAACTAGCCAGGGTTATCGAATACGAATCCTTCCAAGAAGGGCGTATCATCCTTCAACAAGGTCACGTTGGAATTGGGTTTTATTTCATATTGAAGGGCAGCGTCTCTGTGCTTGTAACTGAGGTTGATAAGACTACAGGCCAAAATGCAACAGTCCCTATTGCTGTTCTTGAAGAGGGTCAGTCATTCGGTGAGCTTGCTCTGATGCATGATATTAGACGCGCAGCTACCATAAAATGCCTTCAAGATAGCGAGTTTCTTCGCGTAGACAAGCCAGACTTTGACATGGTACTTAGGGTAGGGCAAAGCTACGAGTGGCAACGCCGTTTAACAGCTTTAAAGGCAATCAATATATTCAAGAATTTACCGATAGACGATCTTAACAATTGTAACAACATAAGTCGCATCGTTGAGTTTAACGATCAAACCGTCATAATGGGCGACCAACAAGAAGTTTCTGATTACGTGTATTTTGTAACTGCTGGGAAATGTAAGGTTGTCCGGGTTTTGACATTGCTTCGACAAAAAACACAATACGGAAGCCAACAAGTCGTTCTTCCAACCAGGAGATACCTCGACCTTGTTAAGAAGAAATATGATCGCAAAGAGTGGCGGGAATTGCATGGAGAAATAGTCAACAAAACACCAGAGCGCCATCTAATGGTAATTGCGGAGCTTAAACAGGGCAACTACTTTGGTGTTGGAGAAGACCTTACAGACACGTACATCCTGGCAAAAGGGCGTGTCGACTGCTTAATGGTTCCCCGACTTATCTTCACCAAACTTGGCAAGAGTCGATTGATTGAATCGCTGAGGACCTCGCTGACTGAAATCCTACCAAAGAACATCGAAATATTTGATAAATATATAAATGGTCAAAGGTGGCGATGCTATAAAGAGGATGTAGTGAACGAAGTGGTAAAAAGACGGAGCATACCTAATAAAACAAAGATGACAGACGTGCCGAAGTCAATATTGAAGGACAATTCATAGTTTTGATTTTATCACTATTTTCCATTGAATCCATATCAATCGGCCATTATCATGTTTTAGAATAACTCATTGCATTGGAAATTGACACCGGCTACACTGTTTGACATACTACATTCAAATCTCTAAGTATCAATAAATTGAGAAAAATTTGCTGCCAATATTCGAAGGATCTTGTTTTCAACACACGAAGTCTAAAAATGAGTCACGTATGATTGATAACGTTTTTCCTTTATCTGAAAGTACCTCGCTCAAAATTGTTCAACAGGCAAGTCCAAGCGATCGAGGCATAAACAAGCCCAAAAAAATATTTTGAATTTTACAAAAATTGGTGCAACGTCCTTCGAAATTGAGCTAGAAGCTACAAATAAAAAGCATTTTTCGCATCCTTCGCACCCCCCCCCCCCCCCCTGGCTATGCCTATGCTAGTGTGTTTACTCTTCTGCCTTAATTGTTTAAAGGATATGGAAAACGTAAAATGAAGTTTTAGGAATTTTGTCAATTTGTGGAATTAAATGCTTAAAAACAGATTAGTTACATGTGAAAGAAAACTCGTGAAATTCAGGATTCCTTTATCAATTGTTGTAACCATGGATATACAGATGTCATAGTAAGAAAACAATGGTCTTTACTTTTAACATGTTAACGTTTCTGTTATTATACTCAGGGTATCAGAAAATAGTTGGCACATTTCACTTTCTACGTTTTCGTAATATAATGAATTACAGGGATAAATTACATCGATATGTAATCGTGTAATCGTAGATCGAAAATCGCCCGACCTTAAAATAATGTTTGATAAGATGCAGAGTATACTTACAACATTAATGTGTATATAGTAGGGTGGTCCAAAATATGGCGAAAAACCAACTTTCTTTCGGATCATCTTCCTCATTTGACTTACCGTTGTCCATGACCTAAAACACCTGCACACCAAATTTTGAGACCCAAATCCCATGGGAAATTTGCCCACGCTTCGACTGAAAAATCCGGTTATTTCATGATTTTTTGCTATTTTCGATAAATTGCCATCTCCTTTTTCCTGGTATAAAATGTTTCTATTTTTTCATAATAAACATTTTTGTAGGACTCTTTATTACTTAATAATACTAGGAGCCCAAACTCCAAATTTTGAGACCCAAATCCCATGTGAAATTTACCCATGCTTTGACGGAAAAATTGTGATTTTCACAGTTTTGTCCGATTTTCAATAGATTACTGTCTCCATTTTCCTGGTATAATATGTTTCTATTTTTTCAAAATAAATATTTTTGGATGACTCTTTATTACTTCATAATACTAGGAACCCATACACCAAATTTTGAGACCCAAATCCCATGGGAAATTTACCCATGGTTTGACTGAAAAATTGTGATTTTCACATTTTTTCTGATTTTCAATAAATTGCTGTCTCCATTTTCCTGGTACGATATGTTTTTATAATAAACATTTTTGAGGACTCTTTATTACTTCATAATACTAAAAACCCATACACCAAATATCCAACAAATTTTGAGACCCAAATCCAATGAGAACGTTACCCATGCTTTGACTGAAAACTGGAGCTTATGATAGCTTATGATGTCTGTTTTAGGGGCATAATATGTTAATAAACATTATGGTAATTCCTTCTTAATCCAAAGAAACACCTAAATATCAAGACTTTAAGTCTTATTGAAAGGCGACAAATTCAGTAGTTTGGGGAAAATTTAGGATCTTTTACTTGTACATTTACATACTGTGGTTAATATTAAGAAGTGATGACTTGACAGCAACTCAAATGCCTTGAAGATTTGGTTTGTTGGTTTCAGTAGGGATACATCACAGGACTTTGTTTGGATTTGTGTGAGATGTCATATTCTTTCTCACATCTTTGCAGGGTAAGGTCAAATATCAAATCTGATTTTCTTTGGAGAAATGATTTTTTGATTGATCAATGTATCAATGGCATGGTCTCTGTTGTAACCAGTAAGCCTGTACCAAATCTTCAAGGGATTCGAGCTTCCACTGAGCTTTGTCATTTCTCTGAAAATGTTCATGCCCTGAAAGTACACAATGTAGAAGATAGGAAGAGCAATGAGAAACACTTAAGGTAATTCTGTATGTTCAGAAATTTTAAGTGGAGTCCAATGTTATTTCTGGAACTCATTCCATACTTGGTCAGCTCTTTCAATTTTACACTGAGTTCAAATATGTATTTAGATTATTAGTTGATGGTTAGTAATTTTCTGTACTATGTGCTATGTTTATACACTGTTTGTGCATCTGAATGGAATGAGTTATGTGTTCCTGAAAAAACACGGGGCTCAAATTAGGAAGCCATTAAAACTGAAAATAAGGAATTACCTTAAAGTACTATATAACCATCTTTCACGATGTAACGTATGTAAGGCCAAACAGGATAATTAAGACAACGTGTAATACAATTTTTACAAATTGCACATCACACAACAATGATATGCTGCTAGCTCTAAACGACAAAAATCAAAAGTATATGATCAAAGCAAACGTGAATTTCCCATTGGGTTCAGGTCTAAACATTTGGTACATATTAAATGTATGGGTTCCTAGTATTAAGAACGTATTAATGTCCTCCTAAAATGTTTAAAAACTAAATATAAGATTAATGTTGATCTATTGAAAATAGGAGAAAATTCGCAGAAAATCACAAATTTTTGGTTGAAGCATGAATTAATTTCTGATGGGGCCAGGGTCTCAAAACTTGGTGCATATTTGGGGTATGGGTTCCTCGTATTATGAAGTAATAAAGAGTCCTCCCAAAATATTTATTATAAAAAATAGAAACATATAATACCAGGAAAATAGAGATGTATTGTATTGTATATGAAATAACCCAATTTTCAGTCGAAGCGTGGGTAAATTTCCCATGGGATTTGGGTCTCAAAATTTGATGTATGGGTTCCTAAGTATTATGAAGTAATAAAGAGTCATCCAAAAATATTTATTATGAAAAGACATCTACCATTTTATACCAGGAAAATGGAGATGGCAATTTATCGAAAATAGCAAAAAATCATGAAATAACCAAATTTTTCAGTCGAAGCGTGGGTAAATTTCCCATGGGATTTGGGTCTCAACATTTGGTGTATGGGTTCCTAGTATTATGAAGTAATAAAGAGTCCTACAAAAATGTTTATTATGAAAAAATAGAAACATATTATACCAGGAAAAGGGAGATGACAATTTATCGAAAATAGCAAAAAATCATGAAATAACCGAATTTTCAGTCGAAGCGTGGGTAAATTTCCCATGTGATTTGGGTCTTAAAATTTGGTGTGCAGGTGTTTTAGGTCATGGACAACAGTAAGTGAAATGAGGAAGATGATCTGAAACAAAGTTGGTTTTTCGCCATATTTTGGACCACCCTAGTATATAGTCCATGGTATGAAATCTCTAGGACGTCTAATAAAGGAGCTGGTAGCACACCGTAGCGCAGCGATATTTGACCTAGCATTAACATACCTACATATGTTCCCTACTAATTTTTATTATAACCGTTTAATATACTTCCGGCTTTTAGGCTGAATTATGCCTGCCATTAACAGAGGTCAAAAAATCACCAAAAAATAAAATCCCAATTTTTCACAATTTGGAGTAAACAATGCAACAGAAAATAATAAAAAATGATTTTAAATATATGATTTAGGTTTCTAAGCTATAAGTTTGAGGTTATTTTTCTTATCAATACCAAAAAATATGTAATCAGTGTATGAACGTTTTGTATTGTTTCTCAGGTATTAATAAGATAAATGCTACAAATGAATCACTTTTATATTGGAATGACAAATGTTTAATTTATGCTAGTTTTCACAAAAGGGGTCTCAATACGTTCTGAGATGAACTTTTATTCAGCGGTGAACATTATCAATAAAGGCGGGCCTATTGCTCTTCCTTGACTAATTGGGACTGCAGCTAAAATTCTATTTCCCGCAGTTAGATATAGTTCAGTTGCTTATAAAACAACCATCAAGACTTGACTGAATTCATGAATAATTAAGAAAAATCGTTATCATTATCTTCCTAAAATTTGATTTTATCCAGCGGTAAGGTCAAAAAACAAACAGCCATCAGAAAACTTGATGATAGCCACAAGTAACGTCGAGGAAGAATTTCAGGGCGTTCGATTGCATATGACTCTAATTGATTATTAGACATGCCCTTGGAATAGATGAACATTCCAATACCTCTGTAACATTTAATTCGATTTAAATCTTACCTATTTGTTATTGTATTATGTTTTTAAAACATGAACAATAATTCGTTGTTAGACCCCTTGCGATTATATGGAAAAATCTGGTAATAAAATGTTTTAAATGGTAAGAAAACTAATATGTTCCCAATCATAAATTACCTAAATATTCCACATAATTTTGTTGAATCGGCTTGGCTCATATTTGAAAAATCAAACAAAATCTGAAAAACACACTTGCATAATTACACTAATTAAACACCGACATCTACGGTAAAATTAAATAGTATATTTTTAAATTATGATAATTTATTTTTGTTCGTATGCTTAGAATAACGGTCTGTGTCTTATAAAATGTATAAAAGTTCGAATCAAAATATTTACGTTTTTGACCCCTTGTGATGAAAGACATTTTTCGACCCGAAAGCCGGAAGTTTTTTCAGCAAATGGTATTTTTAAAGAATCAAGACATATACACCTTCATAAATATTGCTTCAAATGTTGCTGCGCTATAGTGTGCTACGGATCCTTCATATTCGGAAGTCATACCATGGACTAATACCACAATTGACCAGTTTCCATATAAATGGAAAAATAGATGGCATCATGGGTGGTGGTAGGGCAAGTTCTAGAACATGCTATTATTGACAAAATTCAAAACAAATCTTTATTGTTTTACATTGCTTATGCCACGATCGGATCCCTCCCCCCCCCCATGTCTGACTGGTAATGCATTGGGAAGAGTTAATTTAAGACTTAATTTCATGATCTAACAAGTAATTACATTTGACTCAACTTAAAACACCATTGGAATGTTACTGTATGATCTTATTGACATATGGATTGTGCTTTCACATTACAATTGTGATCCTTATAAGAGTAAATGAATTTTTAAAGGTTTCTCAACATTGTGTCAATGGGGATTTACCCCGATCAGATGTGGCGCCATATTTTAGAGAAAAGCGCAATTGTTGATCTCGTGACGATACAAAGTATGCCCCGGTAATGGACTTCGGTTCGCCATCAAAAAGAAGAAAATGTAAGTCTTAAATGGTTAAAAATGCAGATCTCATGAAATCTCATTAAAAACGAGACTTTAACGAGATTTCAAAGCTATAATGAAAAAGGACTATTGTACACGTCGTTTTTATTCCTGAAAATAGTAACATTTATCGATACATTTACAGATTATTTTGAGATTATTTTGTACAAACAAATACTCATCGCATCTTTCTGTTTTACTAGAACACCATACTCTGATATTATGATACATATTCTTTAATCTCAGCTTATCAATGGGAAGAGTTATAACTCATTTTGGCATACTATGGCATCTCATCTCTAACAAGATATTAACATACATCTTCAGACATCTTCGGGTCTTTACTCGGCGGTAGGTTGTACATAGGGCTTTACCCGCGTGATTAATGCCATGTTTTTTCATTGAGGCCCGATTATAGTCTGTGGTAAAATGATTTAAAGTGGTGTTTCTCATCAATCAATTACTCCTTCTTTTTTAAACTCATTGGTCTGCTCGTTTTCTCAAAATTGTAATTAATAATTGAAGTATCTAAACATAAAAATTAATAAAGAAATAACAAATGTACAAATACAAATGTATAGCAACACAAATTCTTATCACGGAACATTGGGCAAATGTAACAATGGTTTATATATAATTAATTTACTAATACTAATATGTCAATTGTATCTATTTCACGACCTTGGTCACTGGCGGATCTGGGGGGGGGGACTGGGGCCCGGTGGGTGGGCCCAGAAAAAAAATTGGTCCCAAAAAAAGGGCCCCAAAAAGTGGGCCTTTTTGGTCATAACTGGGCCTTGTAAGGCCTTATTTTTTAATTTCAGGCCAAATTTTGAAGAAAATGGGCCTCAAAATTTGGGCCCACTTTTGGGTTTTAGGGGCCCAAAATTTTGTTTCGCGCAAACGCGGGACTTTTTTCTCTGACCTGGAATTTGCCCCCCCCCCCTTGTTGGTTCCCAGATCCGCCCCTGTTGGTATATAAACGACTAAACTAAACTATACATACTTTGTCATAGGCTACTTTTGTAAAAATTGACATTTTAGAACTACTTCTAGATAAGATATGGTATTTTTAGAAGATACATGTTGCTTCGTAATCCATTGATAGATACAATGTAAAGGTACGATTTGCTATATGCCTTTGAACCTCTTTGAGCAACGTTCCACACTACACATATACTGAAACCATATTCTCTTTTGATACCTTTGACCTCGTTGACCTGTTAAGTGACAATGACATGCTCTTATTTTCATTCATACGGTTTTACACTCCACCCTAAAAGTTTGGTAACCGTCCCATTTCGGTTGCGAAACTTATGAAGGGTGGTGTAAAAATCATGCAATATGAAGTAGCTGTACAGTGAATACATAGGAGGTGACCTATAAATTTGACACTGATATTCTATGATCTGCAATCGTTTTATACTAATTGTAAATCTTTTACTGTGCTCTAAAGTAAGCTGTTACATTTGTCGAAGTCTTGCATCACTCCCGGCTCAATGACATACAAGATACAAGCTTTTGATCTGGGAAGTAGGTATATAAAGCAAGACTGCATCGGGCCATTATCCTTGGCTTTACTACTGTCCATCTGAATTATCACGTTTTTTCTTGCCTTGCCTTGGGCCCGGGGCCTTGGGCGTTAGCTTAACATTTATCAGTCAAACAAGATGCGCAGCCTTATCGATCTCCATACAATTTACAGAACAGACATTCATGACCAACGTCACCACCAATCCTTGGTACATTTACCGGTGAATGGTAGCCAGAGACATTCACATTTTCAGCTCCATATTTTACAACCTGCCTTCGTCTTGCGGTACATGTACTTGAACTTTGAAACAATTATACACTAGTGACACCTATACATCGCTTCTCGGTTCATAGACAAGGAAAAATATACTGGCGCATATGGTAAACAGCAAAAACACAAAGAAGAGGAATCTATCGAAAACATTTGACGCCATTTTCCAGTCTTTTTTGTTTTCGTCTTTCCGTTTAGCTTTCTCTCTCTGTTCTTGAAAGCGTTTCAAATGCTCATCGATGTCTCGTATTAAATCCATCAGTTCTTTGTCGTACTTGTTAGAGACGAGTTTATTATCTGTCTTTGTATCATGCTTTGTTTGTTGTTGCTTGTGGTCAAATCCATTTGTAACAATACACGTGTCTTTTATTCCATTGGGGAGTATCGTCTGGAATGAAAGAGAATTTAAAAATCATATTCCACGACCGTTGTTCAAATCAGCTTTTCAATATTTTGGTTAGATGTGTAATCGTTATTCTAAAACTATTTAGTGCACCCAGGACGTTCTATGTATACTTATTCTATTAAAAGGAAATGTTTCACTTTTTGGGGGGGGGCTTGCTCTGGTATCAATTAAATGTTGTATAACATTCGCACAAGTTGTGCTTGTCAGCATGCGCGAATTCGGACCATAATAATGTTCATTCACACATTCACATGTACTTTTGAACATTCGCACGAATTATATGGGTAAGCATTCGCGAATTCATATTGTTGTACTTTTGAACATTCGCACACATTATATGGGTAAGCATTCGCGAATTCGTATTGTTGTACTTTTGAACATTCGCACGAATTGTATTGGTAAGCATTTGCGAATTCGTATTGTTGTACTTTTGAACATTCGCACAACTTGTATTGGTAAGCATTCGCGAATTCGTATTGTTGTACTTTTGAACATTCGCACAACTTGTATTGCTAAGCATTCGCGAATTCGTATTGTTGTACTTTTGAACATTCGCACGAATTGTATTGGTAAGCATTCGCGAATTCGTATTGTTGTTCTTTTGAACATTCGCACGAATTGTATTGGTAAGCATTCGCGAATTCGTATTGTTGTACTTTTGAACATTCGCACAACTTGTATTGCTAAGCATTCGCGAATTCGTATTGTTGTACTTTTGAACATTCGCACCAATAGTATAGTTTCCATATAGCTTTTGAAATCTCACTAAACCTCGTTTTTCGTGAGATTTTAAGTGATTTGCATATAAAACCTCTAATGACTTCCATTACCTTCTTTTAAATGGCATATTTGAATTCAGTGAAATGTTTCTCCTATAATAGCTTTGATTTACCCAGTTATGTAATTTGAATAATTTTTGGGCCAAATCTCCATAGGTGTAATGCTAAAATTCTTTAAAACCTTGGATTATTTGTATGTCAACCAACATTTGCATGTTTAATCACAACATGTACATGAATAGGGTCACCGTGTGGTATATCATTCAAGTTTTATACAGATTCAACTAACACTCTTTGATAAATCATGAAATTAAGCCACTTTTCCAAGATTTTGGCATGTAAGTGAATGGAACTCTAGCCCAAATTAAAAGCTGAATAAAAGATGGCAGCACTAGATTTCATTGCTTTTTCTGCTATTTAGAAACTATCCTATTGTGTTGGCAATGCAAGCATTCGCGAATTCGTACCATTGTACTTTTGAACATTCGCACTAATTGTGCTGGTTAATATTCGCAAATTCGTATCATTGTACTTTTGAACATTCGCTCCAATTATACGTTGGCAAGCATTCGCGAATTCGTACCATTGTACTTTTGAACATTCGCACTAATTGTGCTGGTCAACATTCGCAAATTTGTACCATTGTACTTTTGAACATTCGCACCAATTTTGTTGGCAAGCATTCGTGAATTCGTACCATTGTACTTTTGAACATTCGCACTTATTGTGCTGGTCAACATTTGCAAATTCGTACCATTGTACTTTTGAACATTCGCACCAATTGTGTTGGCAAGCATTCGCGAATTTGTACTATTGTACTTTTGAACATTCGCACCAATTTTGTTGGTAAGCATTCGGTAATTCGTACCATTTCACTTTTGAACATGCGCACTAATCGTGCTGGTAAACATTTGCAAATTCGTACCGTTGTACTTTTTAACATTCGCACCAATTATGCTGGTCAGCGGTTGCACATTCGTACACATTATAGTATCGAACATTCGTACATTGGTACTATTCGTACATACTGACTTGTCCATTTTACAATTCTAAAACAATCACGGGTAGAATAACTTACTTCCTCCGTTGTGATATCCAATGCTTTGTTATCATATTCTTTCATTTTCTTTTTATTAGATTTGTCAGGGTACCTGTCGCCGACACACATGAGGTAAGCCAGGCCATGAAAAAAAGATTTCGCCCACTTGGGAAGGACGTCCCTCCTGTGTCCTCGGTGGTATAAATGCACAGATATAATAGCAGCTAGACTAGCTAAGGCCAAATCCGCTATGGCAACAGCAAAATACACACCTATAATTATGAATACAATAAAAGAGCTAATGGATTTAGCAAATGTTGTGAATCATTTATAGAATTACTCTTTTATGCTGTTAATTTGACTTGAAGGGAAAAAGACGAATCGAGAGTGAGTTTCGAAAATATTGCTACATTTTTACACGGTTATTTCATATCATGTTTATATTCTTAAAGACCATGCTTATTTATCTGACTTCATTTCAGGATAGGCATAATTTGATCTTTAAAGTTATCTGGCAAAAGGGGGCGTCCACCTTTCAATTTTTATGTATTTGATCATTTCGGCATCTTCAAACTTTTTGGTCAGCCATCCACATTTTTCCGTATGATTTTTAAAAATGGTTTCAACATTTTACGTTCCCTCTTTTCTAACTCCTTCCATACAGGGCAGCTATATTTATGCCTGGGTCACATTTGCTGCGATTCATCGGCAGGCTCCCGGGCGATTTAGTATTTTGTTCAAAACTGAATACAATTTTGAACAAAATACTCAATCGACCGGACGCCGGCCGATGAATCTGAGCAAATGTGACTCAGGCATCAATGACACATGAGCCACAGACTATTCAATTTTCCAATGCATTACATTTACTTACATTTGTATATATATATTTTTTTATATATTAGCTTAACCTCTCATGCCATAGAGGCAATTGGAAAGCCATGCTTTATTTACATTCAGCCGATGAAATAAATTGACATCATTTTATTATATAAAAAATACAGGGCAGCTGTGCACCATCACAAGTACTCTACATAGAGATGATACACACTGTAAAATTGAAACCTGTCCTAACAAATGATCGATGAAAACAAATGAGATAGGACGTGAAACCCCGGGAGTATATCTATTTGACAACAATGGAACCAATCTTATTGACATAAAAGGTTCCGTCGACTGGCCCACGCCCAATTACGTACGTTAATAGTATGAGGATGGGTCCTTGATACAGGAAGTTAAATGATTATAGTCAATTGCATCGTTGATATTTGCTCTACCTATAGACTTTCAATCTTTCCTTTTAATTGGCGATGCTTTTTTCCGAATTCCGATGCATATTATAGTAAGGTGTGTATTGTATCATCCAAAAGGATGGACATGAACAACTCTTTTATCAAGCATCAGAAATCATTTATTTGACATAATCCTCGTACTTGAAAATTCAATTGTATTTGACTAAGTGCAGACTTATTGTGTTTGAGTTAATGACTTAATATCATTCTAGGACAAATCGAAGAAAATGCATTTTTATCACAAGTACTATCGCTGCATTGAAATATAACATAGAAAAAAGTGCATTTAAGGAGTGTTTTTGCAGTGCAATACAACTGCAGTTCGCACACTTCATAACGCGGTATCCAGATATTCCAATCGTAAATTAACAAAACCAACTACTAACCTACAAGCGGCAAAACCTCAGATTGCGGAGGCAGAGTTTCGGCTACGAACAATAGAAAGACTGTGAGTGCCAAGAGGCAGGTGATCGTGAGCGAGATTCTCTCCCCAGACGCCGGTGAAGCCAGAAAGGAAAATGGAGTAACGCCCATTATGAAGACGCATGGTAGCAACAGATTGAACACGTAATACAACGGCCGTCGTTGAATAATAATATAGTAAGTGACGTCTGGATAGGGCTCAACGCAGCACCCATAATACAAAATGTTTTGTTCTGCGGATACTCTTTTCAAAAACCACTCCCCATTGTCCATAAAAGGTGCGATGTCTGCAGAACTAGATTTGTTAACGAGGTCAAGTTCTAGCCCATCATAGCCCCAGGAGCCAAACTTTAAGCGACATTTTTGTGTGTCATAGGGGAAAAATCGGACGTCCATCTTGCATGAACTTTGGAGCCGCGCTGGAATGTTCCAATACACCGCTCCGTTACTATAGACCATCACTCTATACGTCACAGTGTCATAGTACTGTCCCCCAACGCTGAAAATAATCATAAAAAGAATAAAGTTAGCAAAATACTAGGCTATCCCAAAAGTGGGCAATTCTAAGCCAGTACTCTACAGTTTATCCCAATATATTCCATTTCAATTATTCTCTTTAGAGGAGATGATGTTAGGAAAATGATTGATTCAAAGTATCATTGAATTTCAAATGAGTTAATACCCAAGGAACAATACAAGTTTTGGAAGGAATGCATGTTAGAAATATGAGACTTATGATAGATATACTATGATAGACATGTTTGAAATTGAGACCGTCAATTTCCGCATTCATTCCGCATTCCACAATTTTATCATTCTTTCTACTGCTAATATCTTACTGTATACGTACATATAAGGTGTCTAAAGCTGTATAAATGGTGTATGTAATGGAAAGAGATGGTAATTACTAGGGGTGCCAAGTAATGTAAAACATTATTACGTATATAGAGGCATTCTCCAGCAGAGGGGGAGACGTCATTCATGGTTATTTATCATTACACCAGCGGTCAAATCCCGATCATCTTCGATTTCATAGGTGGTTATAACACAAGGAGCAACTGAAACCTTGTGAATCAAGATGGATTCCGATATCATAATGTGTTGATTGTTAATTTTATGACCAAATTAACATTTAGTTAGAGGTTCAAAATGTATCTGAGTTGATTTTGAAATGACCCCCTCCCCCCCACACGTTTCTGTAATGGATAAACCACGAGTACTGAGTAATAGGTGAAATAAGGGCTAAGGGCCGAATGCCCGAGACCATTATTTCTCCTAAGACCCAGTACTCATAATTTGTCTCACTTAAACCCCATACTGAATCTTATGAAACTGTAAATGGTCCATGAACCAATTTAGCATGCACTTTACTATTTAACTGGAAAAGTTGATTTCTTATGTATTGACTATTCAATTATTGATGAGTGAGTGTAATTACTTCAGCTTCGGTGCATTGTACGTAACACATGTCAATCGTTTTTATGCCACACTGGTTTTTTAAAGCTTGCCAAGTGTTCATTCTTTAAAAATAATATAGAAAGGATATTCTCTTCTTACTACTGCTCATTCTATTGTGTTGCTATCAAAGCTGGGCTCATGAATACTTCTGTATTGTCTATTAGTCTAGAATAGGTATGTTGAAAATAAAATGACATCTTACATTTTGACGAGCACCTTAACCATGGTTATCAACTAGGATTTTGGGAGCTTAATAATTTTTTTCTTTGTGATGTGCATGCAATATCGACTAAAACGAGTGTGTTCAAAATATGATGACACCGTTAACATATTTTGACGAGCAGCTTGACCATGGTAAATAATTGAAAGGTAAAGGGTCCCTTTGTTGTCGAAGTAAGTTTTTGGGAAAAAATGTGTTTTTGCAAAAATAATTTTATGTTAAAAAATAATTTTATTTTCGAAATATACCATGTTTAATCAAGGGTTCCTTTATTGATACTGAGATTTACCAAGATGAAATAGGTGTCAAAATGTGTTTTTGGGTGAAATGCGTTTTTACAAGAGAAATTCAAAAATTGAAATATATTTTTAACTTTAACAAATATAGTCTGATTGATTATAAAAAAAAGTGAGAAAAACTATTTGTTATCAATTTTGAGAGATTTTCGAAGCTGTTTGAGGTATTGTCTTGTGGTTTGTATCTTGCGAACTCAGAGGCACTTGAATTAACATTACTGCAAGTACGGTCTGCTGGATCTATTTTGACAGTTTTGCTTTAGCAAGGTATTTTAACAAATTGACTGTTTCTACACTGAATAAAAAACATTTTCCCGGGAATATTTGGATCGGGAGATACCATACGCCGCAGCGGGAAATATACATTGGAATATATATATAGAGATTATCCTATATGAGGTTCAGGATATTGGGATTATCCCGAGGCCAATATAGTATATCTGCCCGAGGGCCGTAGGTCCCGAGGGAAGATATATTATATTGGCCAAGGGATAATCCCAATATCCTGAACCGACTATAGGATGATCTGTTTATCCAATACCAATCACATTGTTCAATTGTTGCAACCAACCGTGGAATTATTTTTAAATATTCATGTCCAGTTTTGTATTCTTGTCCGTAGCCGAAATTTCCTGTTCAAATATTTGATTATTAACGGGGCATACTGCTCCTTCCCTTCTTTAAAGCATCAAACAGATCGCGATTGTCTGCGTTTTTCTCCATTGTCGTTTACAGTATGCGAACGTTACAAAAAAGAACCAATACGGGAACAGCGATTATGACGTAGCGGGCAGATATACTATATCTGCCCGCTCAGAGCGGGACGTAAAGCTATATCTGCCCGCTGATGAAAATATAAGTTTTTACAAACCGGCTTTATGTACCCGTAACACGTCCAAGTATGGGATAAACATGTTTATCCCATACTTGGACGTGTTACAGGAACACCGGTTTGTAAAAACTTATGTTTTCATCAGCGGGCAGATATAGCTTTACGTTCCGCTCAGAGCGGGCAGATAAAGTATATCCGCCCGCTACGTCATAATTACCCCGTGCAGAGTCTAGTTAAACTACACTCTGCCTAGTAGAGACCATATTACAGTTTAGAAGCCCCGCCCCCACAACGGGTACCGGTGACAGTTTGGGTAATAAATCACTTCTGACTTATGCGCTGACCTTTCTTCCACCATTCAGCGAGCTTGAACAAACATAGGCCAAACGCGTTCTAATTAAATATGCGCACGTCATTGGTCAATTCCGGGCTCAACGATGATGTCAGAAGAAATGACCACATATAGAACGTCGGTCAAATTTTGTCGACGAACACTGATTGGCGCGGTGAGTTCACAGGTTTATTTTAGTTTGAAAGAGTGAAGACGAAGCTCTCTTTTAAGAAGTGAAGTCAAACGAATGCAAAGGGTACGTCATAATCGCCGCTCGCATATTCGTTCATAATTTGTAACGTTCGCGTAATGTTGTAAACGAAAATGCAGAAAACACAGACAATTGGCATCTGTTTGATGGTTTAAAAAAGGGAATCACTTAATCAATAAAAAATTCGAAAAAATAAATGTGGGAATATTTGAAAGAACAGGAAAATCCGCCCAGGGCCAAGAAAACAAAACTGGACATGAATATTCTAAAATATTTCCACGACTGATTGAACAATGTGAACCAGATGACCAAGATTGGTATGGGATAAACATACTATCCTATCGTCGGTTCAGGATATTGGGATTATCCCTTGCATTTCTTTTTCGCGGGAAAAAGTTTCTGTCATTGACGTCAAAGATTTTTAAGCAGCTCATTATAATATTCATGAGCTGACTGTGGAAAGGTGAATAGATACCACCTGTGAACAGTCCAATATTCCAACTTACTCATCATAAAGTGTTATGTCTGGCACCCATATCTCAGATGGAGGGAAGTGAACTTTGCTAACACCGCCATACTCTGTTTCATTCCACTGCAAATACTCGTCCACCCAAGCCTGAAACATAGAAAATGTTGCAAGTCATTTCAAGATAAAGCGATGATTTCTATATCTTGCATTCGTTCGACTACGCTTCTTAAAAGAGAGCTTCGTCTTCCGCACTCTATTATAGACTCTGCGCACAGGGTAATATCTGGCATTTTCAGAAAATAAACGTTGTCATGTAAGTAATATTTGCATGGTTTTTGAAAATATTGCTTCAAACATTCTACATTGAGTACTGAGTAAAATGCTCAACTAGTCCGACGGTACAAATCAGCAACAGATAGGTGTTGTTAAGAAAGGTAATACGTGGACATCACCAGTCATGCCCAGAAGGCGGAAACGTGCTGCTCCCAGCTGGGGCCGCTACAAGTAGCTTACAATCGCATGACAACAGTATCTATCCTTGTTATCAATCGAACGCAATTTCATCATAATACCAATTTACACAAAACAACGTATGTAACGTACATACGAGCGTATTAACGTAAACATTTTGATGAGTACAATACATATAATTTACTGTTTCCAAATTGCACCCATTTTCAAAGTTTGAAGTTACTGCCGGAAACGAATGGTTTTGTCTACCCTGCGCGCAGAGTCTAGTTAAACTACACCAAGACGAAGCTCTCTTTTAAGAAGTGAAGTCAAACGAATGCAAAGGGTAGGTTTTGTCATACATGGACTTTGTTAATATTGTATCCATTTTCATAGGTCGTGTTTTGGTTTTGGTTTTCTTAAATTACAGTAAACATTTGCTTCTTTGTAGATCTGAATCAATCGGTATTTTGTTAATATATCTTCGTCATATCGCTCAGTGTGTTTTTTCATCAGTTAATATTCCTTTGAATAATTCACGGCATAATAAAAAGTTCCAAGTAATACAATATTCCAATAATAATAATGTGGGATAATCAAGAAATAATGGAATAGCACTACGTTAACACTGAATTGGAAAGCATTTTACACGATGTTTCAATCAGAAAATCATCCCACACAGCTCATCATTCGTCACATGACAACGTTCATGGTGTTGCCTACCCTATGTATTCGTTCGACTCCGCTTCTAAAAAGTGAGCTTCGGTAGTTTATAACTAGACTCTGCGCGCAAAGTAGACGTTGTCCATGTATATAAAGCCCCCTCACATATGAACGAATTCACTAAGCGTAGTCTTGCAAATTTGATGGGAACGTAAATATGCGAACCAAAGAACATTGCGCATGCTTTCGAAGCTTTTCGAGTGGATACTTACACATACGAACACCCCTACGATGTTCAACGTACGAGTACATATACTAATGGCAACGACGGTCCTATTCGCCAGTACACGCTAGTTGACGTTGGGGACTTTCGTTCATATGTGAGGAGACCTTAATATTCCAAGTTTCGGTGATAAGAGCAATCATTCTCTCAACTATATAGTATAATAACAGGACTATAGTTATTTGCTTGGCCTTTTGTGGCTTGCTTTGGTGATTTTCATCAGTCATTTACTTCCCGTATTTTTTTTTTTTGAGATGTTAATTAAATTCTTGGGACGCTTTCCCGACAATTCTGTAATGGACTTTGTCCGTTGTCATTACCTTAATTATGGGATCGTATGGGGCTCTTATGGACTAAACCTTGCAAAAAGTCAGTGGCGTGACTAATCTAATCAACTTTGCTTCTTAGCTACGTGTAAAGGGAATATAGACGTTCTTTGTAATTAAGTCTTAAATGTTGGAAGCAAAAAAGCATTTTCATAGTTTCCAGGTACGAGCTTTTACAGGGTGAGCCAAAAAACAAGTGTTAATAACTCAGTTATTCAGCATGGGTTCAAGGTTGGCACATTTGCCACAATAAAAATTTGAAAATGTTTAATGTTTTTTAATCTACTAGGTTTTGTTGGTCTAATCCAAATGGTCAACATTTTATTGCCGTTTTATAAAACTCAAAATGACGGTCAAAGACTCAAAATGCCGGTGTAAAAGGGTAGGTGGTCCTATCAAATTTTGGTCCTACTCTCTATTGATTTATATGGTGACCTAATTACAATCATTTTCCTTATTATTTATACACAGTCAGGGCCAGTAAGGGCCGTAAGGACAGCGGACCATAATCCCCAGGGGACCATAATCCCCAGGGGACCATAATTTCTTTTACACCGGTCTCATCTCTGGAGGCAAACTTGAACGCATCTGGTGAAGTCATTCTTATTACAACTTGGAGACTTTGGAGCAGGTTTTGTGAAATGGCCTATGGAACTTAATAAAATGAAATAAAATCAAACAAGGTTTGTTTTAAGCAAAAATATTGTAAGAATGTGACATCCTCCTCGCTGTTACAAATACTATACTTATGATTCAGAATATATGCCATGCCTTAAACAAGGCATTCACATGCAAAATGTCACTACCTGCTATTTGTTACAGACGCCGACCGCAAAACACCAACCACAAACCGCCGAACACCACCCACAAAAAATTGACTATAACAAATATCGTGTTGGTGACAATTACAATTAGTGCATGTGCACTATGTCCATGTTAGAATGGACCATCTTGTGCAAGTAGTCATACAAGAACCAATAGTTCGATCTCGTTTCTAATGCATTTTAAGTTGAGCTAGTCTTGCTTAAAAGACCCTGTACCCCCCCCCCCCCCTTATCCTTCTCTCTAGTATATTGCCAGGTAAAGAGAGTGAAGACGACGGGGGGTGGATACAGTCTTTGAGCAAGACTAAAGTTGAGCAGATGAAGATATTAACGCTGCGGTGGATAAAATACCATGGAGTGAAGATGCTAATAACCGAACTGGTGATCGAGTGAAAATAACATGGTTGAAATTGAAGAAATGGGTAAACGAAGATATTAATGTAAACATTGTATCAATCGGGTGAATATCATTCTGACACTCATCGCAGATTTATCTGTTTCACGAGACACTATGCTCATCATCAAATTGCTGAGAAGAGAAGAATTATGATGATGGATAAAGATGTTTTTGAAGCGGAAAAGATCTTATAAAACAATAGATATGCTCAAGTTGAAATGAAAATGTATTGATGATCGGAAAAATTAATTACTAAGTGAAACACAGAAGCGTTTAGTTTCAGATTATTACATGTACCAGGTATCTATTGTGCAGCTCCTCAAAATATCGTTTAGCATGAGTTTCTATTTGAAAAGACTTAACTAAGTCGGTATCTTTTTACTTTTTTTTACTTATCTTGATACCAATTTTACCAGTAAAAGAATAAAACGACACTGACTAATGCCGTGGTCACATTTACTCCGATTTTCAGCACCGGCGCCCGGTCGATTGAGTATTTTGTTCAAAATTGAATATACAATTTACAATTTTGAACAAAATCCTCAATTGGCCGGGCGCCATTGTAAAAATCGTAGCAAATGTGACCTCGGCATTAGGTAAGGCTACAGTAGAAAATTAAAATAAAAATACACCACAGGGCTTGTACATCGACATTGGGCTTGTATGTACAGCATTGGGACAAAACGGAACAGATACGAAAATTGAATATTTCGCATTTTGGAAACCATTTTGGAAACCATAGTGTAGCACAATTAAAAGGTTATTCATTGTCTTAATGACTCGATTTTTAGAAAACAGTGCATACTTTTGCATAGGGCGTCTGTTTTGTCCCTGTGTTCGCAGGGATTTGTATGAAGGACAGGAATGGCACAACTTGGAAATCAAATATTTTCTCTCCTCGTTTATTTAGAATAATCATGTTTGTTTCTGTAAAAAACAAGCACCGATGCTTTCGTTTAAAAGACACTGAAAACGGCCGTTTTGTCCCGATCTCCCCTTATTTATATACTAGTATATACTAGTATGTGAATAAGGCTATCTTATACACTACTCTTAAATCAACGTTTTTTTTATATCAGCATCTGTGCTCTTTGAATATGCAATATAAAGTCGGTCATGCGTGAAATCTGTAGAATTGTAACTTTTGGCATTGAAAACGTTTGTATTGTTATGGCTGTATGATTAGTATTTACATAAATAACATCTTTGTATTAAAAAGATCATTAGCCACGTGAATAAGGCTCAAACACAGCTACATCGATGTTCTATATAATTATCCCATCGAACGAAGTTCGAGGGGATATAGAGAAAACGTATCCCGTGCAAGGCCTGGCACGGGATAAGAGAAAACGTCCGTCCGTTCGTTTGTCCGGGCGATAACTCATATATCGGTCGACGGATTTGATTCGATTCAAATGTTATAAGCTTAAATGCCCTATGGGTATAGGACCTCTGTTAGAGAAGGATTTTCAATTGGCCGCTCAATACAAAATGGCCACCATATTTCGTAATTTCTTTTTTTTAACTTTTTTTATTGAATCAAACATGAAATGATACATTTATGAATTTTGTGAATTTTCTAGTTAGTGCAGAGACATCACCAACGATCATGGTAAAATATACCAAAGTTTGGATATTTCATCAAGGCTAACATCTACAGTGTATTTTCATTATCTATAAAGAAACCCCTTGAATGAACGTTGTTTCAGCTGAAATTCCTGCAGTTAAAATCTTGAAATATCTTAATTCTCTTATGGGAACTTTAAACTTAATAGTGCTGAAATAGATAGGCGAGTCCATACATTATATATATATATATGTATTTTATTAGTTCTTCTTATTTTTACTTATATATATATATAAGTAAAAATAAGAAGAACTAATAAAATACGTTTGATATATATACAATATATAATAGGATTTATTTGTACTGATGCCCTTTTAGGGCCAAACGTACATCCAACATACAATTTTCATTAACAGTAAAAGTAGCGATAAAGTAAAGAAAATAGGATTTATGAAAATAGGTCTGACAAAGAAGATGTTAACCCAATGTTGCCCCGATTGCTTAGAAAAAGTGAAAAATTTTAATTTTTCTCTCTACAGGCCTTGTTGCCACTTTATTGGTACAGTGCTAGTAGAGTGAAACCTACTTATTTGAACACCCCTTTAATCCGAATGCGAATGGTAATTAATTAGAAATCTGATCATTTGAAATATAGTTTCCTGTTCATACACAAATCGCTTTACTCAATTAGTGTCAAAAAGTAGTAGACATCAAAACCCCTACCCCAATCAAGGTAACCCATCCCCCACCCCATCTCCTTCACTTTTCGAGGAGGTGAGGTGTATAGGAGGTTACAAAGCCAATGTAAGTACCTTAGTCCTACATGTATTCCTTTAAAACACGTTATTTTCGCACTTTAATTTCGCTAATGGGGGATTTGTTGCTATGTAATAAAATAAGTGATAATAATTGCATTGGAAATTAATCGGTCTTTTCAACATTGTAATGGAAAACATGAAAATTACATACACAATAATCCCAGCGAGCTTCTTATAGAGGCTCAACAGAGTTGCCTCATCCTCAATTGATGGCAAGGCAGGTGTAAATTAAGAGATATTGCAGACACAAATTATCCGCATTTAGTACCCAGTAGCAATTAAGCAATTCAAATTGCAAATGATATCATTTTTGACCCAATATGGTTGTTTTATTACGGATGTGTTCTAGCACCTCTCCTGTTTTATGTTTTATGTGGTCCTAAATTGGGATAATTGGATTTGAATGTTGGGGGAGGGTGTATTAGAAAATGGTTTTTATCATGTTAGATCATGGTTTGGGATAGTAGGGGTTTGTTTCCCTTATGACTGGTGTACACTTAGAAGTTTTCTTCTTCTTGTTGTGTCCTGTAACAGTTTTTGGGCATTTCCCATGGCACTTTAATATACCTCAGCCCATTTTACAATTTTGGGGGCAAGCCGGATGATATTTGGTTTGGTGACATTAAACTTTCGAAATACTGATTTACTAAGACTAATACAGGCCCGTCCGAAGGATTTCCCAAGATGGGGAGGCGACTTTTGCGTACGAATGGGTTGCACCGCCGACACACCCACGCAAATCAAATAAATAACCTCAGTAAATGATCCTCTGGGAATATTTCTCAAAGGATGTCCTGCCTATGGCTACGCTACAGCCATCATGCTTTTATTTGAATTAAAAAAAGTTGTATCAAAAAGCAAAAGTCTTTTCTGGGTCACCGCGAATGGCATGATTTCCTCGAGTCTCTTCAGTTGCAAGGCAACCATACTGGGACCGATTCGCGTCGTTCCACTACTGCCCTTGGTGGGGGCCCGCTACCATACTATATGACTCCCGGAGTTTACTAAAGCACGTTAGTGGAGGAACCAACCACAGTCTCACAATCTGTCTCCAACAAGAGCGGTCAGAGAACCAACCCATGCCAAGGGCCAGTATACGGTTGGACCTTCGGACCGGGTGTCCGTAGTGACAATGATCAACAACTCCGTACCTGGGGCTCGAACGCGGGACCTCCGTATCCCCCGGTACATTCGACAACAGTCTAACCCACTCGGCCAAACTGCTCAGGTATCTAAACTGCTCAAAAATGTTATGTTTGTTTTACTATTTTGCTTGAATAAACAGAACGTGCCTATAATAATCTTATTTTCTGAACAATTTGTTTGGAATTACCTTAATTACAAACAAGGTTACTCAACTCGCGAAAATGTGTGAATTGGCTACTTCGCGTAATTGCGCCTTCTGAGATGTCATACATGTATGCTACTGAAGAACAAGAGCGAATTCGAGATTTTACTTTTGAATCAATCAATTTTCAATGTTAATATTTCAGTCGGAGATTTATAACAACTCAGAAAAAGTTGAACCTAATTGTAAACTCACCACAACGCAAAATTATGAGAATAATCGTGTACAATGTAATTGTTCGAAATATTTCCATGTATATTTTTGATCAGGTGTTTGTCACGTCATGTATTTGCTTTTGATATATTAATAAAACACACTGACTTGATTGATACTAGACAAAATTATAAAAATGCAATGACTAGCATTTCTACAAGCACAGACGAAATCTAGCGTATTGGCCCTTTTCAGCTTTTTTATAAAATGTTTTGCAAAACTGTACTTCAGACTTGTATGTTTAAGGCCATTGTTGCACTTAAGTTGTTTTTGGGTTAACGGTATGTGCTAATTATTGGCCCGAACAAGCCAATAATCGTTCAATAATCATGTATGTCTTGAATTAACCCGATTTCTATATACATTCATGATCATTTATTGACGTTATTTACCAAGGGCAAAAATCCGACTAATTACTGTTACGCGTTCGTCATACTTTATTTTTTCTTTTGTTTTTACCATGGGTATCTTACTGTACTTAAATTAACAAACTTTTTGCCCAATAAATAGGTTCCTTTGAATGCTGGGGCATTACCCCTCTTGGGTCACAAGAAAGTCACTTTCATGTGTGTTTATATACGCCAGTTCACGAAATAATTAGGAAAACAGGAAAAAAGCTTATAGAAATAAGAACCCGCTCTTGTAGGCTATTGACTTTTGTAACAATAGCAGAGTTTAGATATTAATTAAATGAGAAAAAGCCAAAGTTGACCAGAATTTCGGGACCCCAGTCGGGATACATGAACTATTATTTTAAAAGAGAAGTCAATAGGGAGTTTAAGCTTGCATATAAATTCGAAACGCCAACCTATACGTATTACCAATCGCCCATACAAATGCATCACTAAAATATTTTCCGTTCACGTTTAGGTTGTGAAAAACATTGCAAGCTTAAACTCTCTAATATCCAAAATGGCGGCTATGTAACTAAGTCAGAAATACGAACGTAAAGCTGGTAAAACACCATTAAAATACGAACTTAGTTCGTTGATGACAATCAAAAATAACACGATGATAACCTTCATGTGATGAGATTATGCACAATGAATAAAAAATGATCAATTAAGATTAAAAATCGATAAAAATTACTAGTATACAAATTGATGTACAACTTCATTGATAGAGGAATATTTCTCAAAGGTATTTAAAAAAAGCGACGGTGCAAGCGTATCGTCTCCCTCATCCTGGCTACGCTACAGACACCTCGTAACATATCTCACCCCTATCTCATTTGAATCAGAATAATCTTCAAAATATGATACAGGCCCGTAGAATATTTTTCAAAATATAATACAGGTCCGTAGCCAGCTCTTGCTAAGGGGGTTCACTTTAAAATAAATTACAGGGGGGTTCATTATTGACAATTTTGGCCAAAATCACTTAAAAAGTGCTCAAAATGGTAAAAAATGCAAATTTTGAAAGAATTTTTGGCCAGGTTCGCTCAAACACACCGACCCCCGCCCCCTGACTACGGGCCTGTAATATTACGTTTTGGGGTAAATAGACCTTTTAAACTTAACAGATGGTATATGGTATATAGTCCATTTTTCGTGAATATTGAATACTGCTAATAGAAAATCTCTAAACCATCCTAATCCGAAATTTGGATGCGTTGAGCTAGTCCCATCGATGTCTCTATTTGCTTTGTTTTATTTGCTGCAGGAAGATGCAGTCTTTGGGAGGATTTATCCATACGTCTATTTGTTTATTGCATTTTGTTTTTTGTCTAACATTTGTTCTGTCATTCCCTATTGATATCATTTCCACTGGCACCTGTGACTGGGAACTTATTGACCATTATGTTTCCATTGATGCATCAAACGCAGATGATAATTAAACAAAAACATAAAAGCAGATCTATGTGGGACCTTATAAAAGTTATCATTGGGCTCGTGTCATCCCTTTTATTTGTCACGTCTGAAAATTCCCCAAAATATATTTTTTATTTCGAGTGTACTAAAATAAGATTATTTCAGTGTTTGTTCAGCTACATAAACTAAAATTGTATCTGACTGATATGATGTAATATCGAATCGTATTGTCGACAACAAATTGTCAAATATCAGCACTACCTGAGTGACAGCAAGAATATAGTCCAGATAGCATCATATGTTTATTAAAATGATTTCAAATATTTTTATGTAACCACCTTACTATGTTAAGTTATTATAACTTGCTATTTTAGAACGTGCAAATAAAACATGGTGACGAATTGCAAGAACCATAACAAAAATCATTAGATGGAGCAAAAATTACTTATGAAATCAATGAAACTAATAGTGCAGGGGATAGCAATAGATCTGGTGTTTCGAACAGACATTCAGAGAAGCAGCTTTGTGTGAACAACGACAAACAGACTTGGCATAAAGGTTGACGAAGAACTTATATAAAATATTACGAAATCAACGTACATGGACAATAGTAAACACAATTTCATGGGATAAATATGATATCCTGTGATTTTAGAAATCAAAGGATATCCTTTTAAATATATTTTGGAAAGAAGTTGACAACATTGATCAGAGACATGAAAATGGCTCTATATTGATGCATACTTACAAATCGTAACCACACGCTAGTTATGATCATTTGATTCTTCTCGTTCTGAAACAAAAGTACTAAATAAGTACTACGTAGTATAAAAATATTCACGCCTTTTATGGTATATAATTATGCATTAAATGGCTCAAATTCTTTCCGTTATAGTATAATTTGAATAGACGTCATCGAGTGTCATCCATCTTAAGAAAATTTAATCATTCATGATTTTATCATATTTCAAAATGATGAGTCGCTCTTTGAAAGCAAAATCTTTATTCTTCATTATAAGTATCTAAAAATAAATCTCACCACATCAACTATCTGATTTAACGCCATATCCATAGTAACCCTCAGCTGTGATCCGTCATAAGATGGTATAATGTTGGTATCGTAATCCATCTTCAAGTCCTTTAACAATCTTTGCTCTGGTGATAATGTCCTTTTCGACGCGCCACACGCGCAAAACTTCCACCAGAAGCACGTTCCGGTCAGTAGCCATACTAGTTGAAGCAGTTCCATCTTAATGGTTTAAATCTTTGAAACTTTTTTAAAGCAAGGCATTGACATGCGTGTTGAAAAAACATTATTCTCATTAGATCATTATTAATGCCCAATTTATACTATAAAAAGTTAAATTAATTACAAGTATATATCGCAACATAGTCCCCAGCTCCTCATTTTCGTCCGCAGTTGTATAATTTATCTTGCCTGCTGGCCGTTTTCCCAAGTTGTTATGTCCAATCTTGAGATAACATGAAGACTCTCGTAGTCCAGGAAATGTGTATATAGACTATTTTCATGGTATTTCTGATTACATACAGTCATTCATTGTTATACCGGAATATCATTCAATGTCCAGTTATTATCCAATCAAGCATGCTTAACACCTCTGAACGGAATGGAAGTACTAACTATATTGATGTCGGTAGATCTATATTATTACAGCGTCGATATAAACACGACGATTAACCAATTGATGTATTAATTATTTATTTGGTGCATCGTACCCATTTGTATGTTGTATTGTTCTTTCGTAGCGTGAATAGTGCATCTTTGGTCAAAGTCAGGTAGTTTATAAGTAATAACAAATCCCTTATTGACTGCCTTATGAATAGCAAAGCCTATGACTACGCATGGTATTATACATGTATAAAGTGTGATACGAGAATAATGAATCAATCTTCAGAATTTCAGATAATGGCTTTTGCAATGTTTTGAACATAGCTATTGATTTTGTTGTTTTTATTATGTCATTGAAGATATTCGCACACGACTGCAATTGTGGCTGATCGACATCGACAATCAATTTAGCTTCTCTGTCATTTGGAGCTCGTCTCTCATCTTCAGTTGTAGCATTTCGTCTTTAATGGTAGCATGGGTGTCCTTCACAACTGTGCAATCTTTGTCATTTCAACTCACATTAGTTACTCTCGATGAGTAAATTCAGAAGATTTGTCCATTATTTGAAAATCTTATTGTAATGTAATGTCAACATTTGTAATAAAAATATCCAACAAGGCACATGCAAAGTGTCACAACCTACCATTTGTTACAGACCCCGAACGAAAACCACCGAACACCTGTCACAAAAAGTTGGAGACTATAACAATATGTCACCCCTTAACCTGGTGGTAACACAATAAATACGATCAGTAAAACCTGCATATGTGAACATACTTTTGGTCCGAATGTATCCTAATGGCAATAATTTTAAACCTTGACGAAGCAAGATGAATTCATGGGAATTCTCGCAGTATTGAAAAATATAGGCCTTGTGGTGGTGACCTCCTTCTGTTATCTAACAGTTGTTAATGGGGTGGGGTCCAAGGTCTTGAAGCAAGATAGCCCTGAAGACATATGGAACAAAAAATGCCCATTAAACATGTAAATATGGTACAGTATGTTCATATTTGATTTTCAGACTTCATTGATCAGTCAGGTAACACTACAAAATGCTTACTAATATGCGTGCATGTTTTATTCTATAACATTCGAATTGTTCATTAATAGACACGATTACACGAATAAAAATATGATTCGTTCAGGTTCTAAAAGCTCTAAAAGCATCTAAATGATTCAATAATGGCTTTAAGTAAATGCTGGTTGACATAACACGAAACAGCCTTTACATATTCAAACATTTGCTCACTTGGAAAGGCATTTGGAATACAGAATACCGATTGTGTATTATATTCATGTATACAGGGTGGGCCAAAAAACGTCCGTAATTCGTATTTAGCTACAACTTTTTTGATAATATTTTTGATAGAGACGCGGGAATCGTTTTTGTAATTATTTTTGAAATGGCATAAATATATTTTCAAGTTCTTTTTGAATAAGAAAGGTTGACAGACATTATAGGGGACCTAATTGAAAATATATAGTTGTCAGGATAACATTCAAAGCAACAATTTAATACTGATATTAGTTATGCCTCAGATAATAGAACTACATGTAGATTGATATAGTATTCAGTCTGTCAGAGAGACACGTAGGTTTAATAGGGTATCTGGTATATTGTAAAATTATTTCCAGACAAAAATGGAATACACAAAACTATTTTTTCTTCTTTTCACAACCTTTATTTTACTAAACAGGACGTTTCGGATCCTATCTGGATCCTTTTTCAACTGTTATAAAAACTTTTGTGAAAAGAAGAAAAAAAAGTTTTGTGATTTAATAATCCAACCAGAAGAACATGTTTAAGAAAAAATGGAATATTAGAAATATCGAAAGACAAATAAGTAAGAAGAAAAGCTGATTGGTCGATCAAGAAAATAGGTAACTTGGATAAACCTCCCTTCCCATAGAAACTATTCAATCACCTCATTTGTGAACAAGAAGATCAGTTATGTGGTTGGATGAGCTGACAAATTATAATTATTGTTTTGTCAATGTTCTTCAGGACTCAGATAAATTATTTGCTAATCTTTTTGACCAAAAATAGAACATTTGACTCATTCGTTTTCCTCAAAGAGTTTGGCCTACCAATAGAGTTTTTTCTCGAGATATTTAACACAATCATCTAATCTTCCTCATTGGTCTCAATACCCCCCAACTACTTCAAATTATATCAGAAAAATAAGTTAAAATAGTAATAACAAAACACAAATAAAAATATGGACGTTTTTCGCTCACCCTGTAGGTTTAATCAAAATATAAATGGATATCAAGTTGCAATTCTAATGAGTTTCACTTACACGTCGACGTCTTGATCCATCAAGGTATTTCATGACACTGGTGCAGTATGTTTGCAAGATGGCTGTCTGAAACATCTATTTTAATGTACAAATTAAGTTGTTGATTTTCTTTCTCAGAGATATTTCTTTTTCTTTTTGACGTTTTGTAGGATGTCCATCCTACTTCTTCAGAAATAAAATTATATTTGAATCAAACTGAAATAATTAATTATTACAACTTTGTGCATTACTACCAGAGAGATGAACATTCATAGAAGCATCTATTTTAATTGCCAGCATATCAGAAAAGGAATCTAATTAAACATGGTCTTCTTCAGTGCATCAGTTCTCGGCACTCTAGAGTCGATATCATACTGAATACCAAGAACAGGGAAAACATTTACTAATCTAGTACATGAACAGGGTGTCAAAAACAACAGCACCCCCCCCCCCCCCTCTACAGCAAAATGTACTTATTGTTACATAGTGTGGCATATCCCATTTTAAAGACTATTTAATTCTGGAGTTACTTTTACAAGTTAGAAAAATAACTTTCACTTCTCACTATCACTTTCATAGTATGGGATAAAAGCAATATTTTTGATAACGAACATCAATATTCAAATGTGCTTCAAAAGACATTTTATATCGGTTGGAAGAAAAGGATGACACTATAAACAGATGACACTACAAAAGGATGACACTAGATTGAACTTTGCACACTCTTTGTTATGATGTGTTTGTTTACATCTAAAGGTCGCTTGTATCTATTAAACCCCCAATGAATATCATATGTATCGGGACTATTCCACTATCCTGTACATAAAAGTTTGGCCAGGATTGTCCCACTTGCCTGTTCATAAGGTATCAAGTTTTGTCGTGGAATTGTTTTGAAACATGCTTTATTTTAATTCTTTTTTAATTATATTTGACCTTAGAAGCCAGCTATGTGTTTTATAAAAAATAAATTCAAATCCAATATTAGTTTTCATATATTATTTGGAAGGTGGTCTCATTGAAGACACTAAAAGGTAAATATGGGGAAATGTTACTGCATGCTTGTGCAATTTGTTGAGGCCCATTTATTGTTACAGGAAAGATATGCATCTGAGTGTCAATGGATTTTCCCTTCCTGATAAATGTTGATGGACTTTTAAACACGCTTCAGCAAATATTCAATAATTACGTAGAAAAAGTGATGAGTTGTATTTTAGATTCATTTCACAATGAAATAGTTCCGTTAGTTTATTTGTATTCTGTCTTTTTCATTGTATTATTTAACTATCTATTTTATCTATTTGCAAGGTTGACTCTAAAGATGAATCTTCTTAAGTAGTTTATTGCATGTGATGACACCTTTAAACTATTTAATCATACAATCTAAGAGCTTTATAATGTTTGGGGAATGACCACACTTGACTTAATTTACATAATGGTTTGAAAGTTGAATTATTCATCAGTTCTTGAATATTTTCATCATGAAAAGTATGTCTCAAGAAAGGGCTGCATATGAATCTTGCTTTTAGTATAAGGACAACAACAAATTATATATAATAAACTACAAAAGATTAGATCTAATATAAAAGGTTTATTTAGATGAGATACAGTACTTCAAAAAGAGGATCTGTTTGGACCATTCTACTTATGATGTAATTGGAGACAGGAGGCAATTCTGCAAATTCACAAAGTCTGATAGATATATTTGGAAACTCCATTGGCCTTCATACGGGGAAACACATTTTGTTATCCTATCAAATGAAGTTTGCATGGATATAAAGAAGCCATCTGTCCATTCGTTTGTTTGTCCGAGGGATTACAAAATACCGGTTGATTTTGATTCATTTTTGATTTTGATTCAATTTTATAGGCTTATGTTTTATAGGTGTAGGACCTCTGTCAAAAAGGAATTTCAATATGGCTGCGCAATTCAAAATGGCCATCATTTTTTGTAAAATTGTATTTTTTATTATTTCATAATTGTAACTCAAATACTAGAATAGTTAATTTGGTTCCAATTTTATGTGCTGATGCCGAGGGACGATGGGGCTCTGCTCAATAAGAGATTTTCAAGATGGCTATTTAGTTTCAAAATGGCCACCATTTTCATAAAAAATGTTATCTTTGATAACTTAAATACTAGTGGATAGATTCGATTTCCACTAGTGTCATCCTTTTGTGGTGTCATCCTTTTATGGTGTCATCCTTTTATGGTGTCATCCTTTTGTGGTGTCATCCTTTTCTTCCAACCGATTTTATATTGACTCCTGTATAAAATTCCCACTCTGTAGTTAACACCTACCGACAGTGAACACTTTTTGTGACTCCATAGGTGTTCACTATATACAGCCTTTTACTGTACATCATCAATATCAATGAAGTTTAAGGTAGAATCAAAGATATAATTTTGATACGACTTGTTAAGATGAATTTTTTGTCTTTTGAAGATTTGGACCTGTACAAGACAGTTGGACACCTTGGTTTAAAAATTGTGAATTTCTATTGCAATACCGTCAACCCCCTATTCTAGATCTATTTACTAGTATGTTAAAGGACAACACTAGGCACTAGGGAGGATAAGCTACACTTTTTTATAAGTTCTAGGTGAATATGTAGAATCAGTCCTCAAGGGGTTCCTAGAAGACACACTGAGAGAGGGACAGTTATCACTGAGGTCAATATATTACTTGTTCACAAAAAAGTTCCTTTCAAAAACAAATAGTCAACCTTAGGACTTTGTCTGCTCAGTTGTAATCCAATGAAACAAGGGTAGTGCAAAAAAATGGTAATTGAATGATACAGTAGGTAAAACAAGGCAAAACATGACAAATACCTCCACTTGAGAAGCTACTACAAATGGTTACAAGATGTGACAATTTGTTACAGATGAAGAACATCAAACCCTGATCTATGGTAAACAAAAATTGTTTTAATTACAATATATCACCACTTCTTGGTCAGATTTGCAACAGGGAAGATATTTCACGGCATTAAAACAACTAAACACATTTTGATAGTTTTTCATATGTATTGGTTGAACATATAGACTACAGAACAAAGATATAATGTATACAGTATTGCAAGTACAGCATTGAATAGGTAGGTTTTTAATGATTTTTGACATTTTATAAAATTCTGGTTTAAAGTCTTTCAAAATAAAGTCATCTTTTGAACAGATACAAAATCAATATAGCTTTCGATACAGTATACATGTATATACCATCTGAAAGATGACATTCAAATATCACAAGTGTTTCAGAAGTAAACATGAACATATTTAATTGTTCTACATTTATTGCAATCAAATCAAGGGTTTATTTAATACCCAGGGCTTAGTATGTGTACCAAATGAAACAAAACGACATGCATCCGGGGCTTTGCATGGTCCTCATTACACTAGTGGATAAATTCTATCGGTTGATAGAACTGTACATGGTAAAAAGCCAAACCCTAAATATGTCGAAATTACGAACGAGGCAAGTTCTGGGTATTACGTTCCCCCTTGATCATATTTAGTTTACAATGACATTTTAACAGATTTGATAATCACAATTAAATTCAATATGGCTCATTTTAATAAAAATGACAAAGATATTGGCAGATCATGTACAACTAGTTTGCTATAAGGATGTGTTTATATACAAGCAGATTTCTATACATCTAAATAGACATTCTTTAATAATATACATATATTTACATAATTCCATTTGGTGGATAAATATGGGTAAAATGTATTTCACTGATAAAAACACCCATATAAATATTGCAGAGGTACCATAATAATTCTTTGTACTAGCATAATTCAATTACAAATTTCCCATTTTGTGGATAATGGTTTCATTTGAAAAGGAGTTCAAATCCCAACAAACAGACATATACCTTCAAAGAGCTCTGAAATGCATTCTAAATCTTGACCTTTAAATGTGACCTTGACCTTCTATGATCAGCCTTTAAATAGAAAAATCTATAATGTTCATTTTTTTAGTTGCATCAAGTGAGTGCCAAGCGATAGCATTGAGTGATCATCAAGTGTTCAGACATCAACATTACAGTGTCTATAATATAGAAAAAGAAATAGAAAATCTAAACACATCCAATAATTAATCACATTTCTCGTAGCAAACAACAGGTTACGAGCATGTCATGGTCACCCAGCATGCCTTGTATGATATCTATATCCCAATAATTACATGTCTCAACAATAGAACAGAACAAAGCTACAAAATTAAGGTTGTAATAGAAAACACGACTTTCAATGATTACCAATTGATCAAATTACATCGGATAACAATACTAAATGATGTCGTTAACTCTAGGTCTATATTCCATACCGAGTCTTCATACATTCCAAATCTATAGCCTCATTCAAGCTCTATAGGTTCATACAATCTGTATGGTGTTTTAATTATTTATAATCAATTACTACTATATCCTATTAACTCTTCTCTATGGGAATACATATACATATAATATATTAATAGACTATATAATATTAATATTTGATTAAATTCATCATCCGGTATATCTGTGATATCATATTTGTCAGATTGCTTCAACTCATATTCAACATTAGAAAGCTAAGGTAACGCGGTTAAAATATTCCTTAAAAAATCTTCAAATACATCGCATGTAAGAAAAAAATACAATTTAAATCTTTATACAGCTATACAATAAATTCCAGCTTATTACAAATCAAACCTTATTTGACCTCAATGGATACTGAGTTGTAAAACATTAATTTTCAGAACATAGATTTGCTGCAGGTACTGGTACATTATCTAAAGGCAAAGAATGCAAAAAATTAAGCAAGGCCTATATTGTAAACAACTGACTAATCTAAATGAGGTTATAAATGATTAAGTGGTGAAATGTATAACATAATAAGGTAAGAGGAACATGTAGTTCGGTCAGTTAACATTGTTGGTTGGTTGATTGGTTGTTCGGTTGGTTGGTTGGTTGTTTGGTTGGTTGTTTGGTTGAATGGCTGGTTTGTTTATGCCTGTTTGTTTGTTTGTTTTGGGTTTCGTTTTGGGTTTCGTTCTTTAAAAGAGAAAAATCACTGGAAGCGAGTCTTGTTTTTTAAAAATTACATTAAAAGTGTGTCTATTTTTTACCCTCTGCACTATCTTTTTTTCCCTTTCATCCTTACTTAATGTTTTCCTCTTCATATTTCATATGTAATAGACTTATCAGTATATATTACATGTAGGTTCTCATTCCTTCAAAGATGATAAATAATCAAGCAACAAAAAATTTGATGTAATCAGTACACCTGATATGGAAACATTGTGGCACATTAGATTGAGTATGGGTTCATAATTTTTGAAAACTGAACCCCCCTTGGCAAATCCTGGCTATTGGTAATGAGGTTTTGTAATAAAATAGTATAAAATATGGTTTAGATATACATGTAGTAAAGTATACCTTATTTGGAATTCCAACATTGGTACACTTCAAATTGATATCAGAAAAGCAATGTTTTTCATTATGTAAAATGTGAATTATTCATTCCTACTGTATGATGGTCATATGATTTCCTTATATGGACAAACACCAGGCCGGTAGCCAGGGGGTTCGAGCAAACCCCCCCCCCCCCCCCCCCGGCCTTTCAAAATCATGCAGTTTTTCACCATTCTGAGCACCTTTTAAGTGATTTTGGGCATTTTTTGACCAAAATTGTCAAAAGTGAACCCCCCTGGAATTTTTCAAAAAGTGAACCCCCTTGGCAAATCCTGGCTACTGGCCTGAACACTAGACCCAACAGTATTGTACTGATGGCTGTGAGAGTTGATAACAGTCTCATATTTAGCAATAAATAGATGTCAGCCTTGTCAAATATTGTGTATTTAATAGAGAAAAGTGAAGAAATACTATAAAGGAACATGGTATATAAGAACTACACTGTAGTCCTATTCGGATATAACATCGTTTTTTCATTTAATCACAATTGCTTAATTGCTGTGCATTTATACTCAATAATGCATTGCTAGAAATAATATTGCATGGACAGGACACAAAGTCATTGTCAAGACAAAGCAATGACACCAAATGACACTGGTGTCAATGAGTTTGCTTGCCTACAGCTTCATTACAACAAAGCAGGGATTCAGGTAACACATAAGCACGATAGTAACAAACCATGCGTGAATCCAACAAACCATCTACGGGTCCAACAAACAATGCATGAGTCCAACAAACCATGCATGGCTTCAACATTCTATGCTCTTAAATAAAACTTAAATCCTCTCTGGATATTCTATGGGAAATCCTCTATGTGATTTTTCTGTACAATTGAATAGAGATACATTGTATATAATAGTATATAAATAGTAAATGGAGAATCAAATCCTATGAGATGCTACATCCACTGAATGTTTTAGGATCCTTGTTAGACTGTGGGATATCAGCTTCCTTCACTGGTGGCAACTCTTCGCCATCTTTCTTCTTGTCATCATTCTTTTTCTGAAACATAAAATATTTTTATATTTCAATTAACCAGTTAATTACGTGTCAGTCCAATTCATGGTATCAAGAATCTACAACCCCAAAATGCAATCTGATTTTCAACGCCGTTTTGGTGCCAAATTTCGGTGCTGTTTCGGCACCAAATGGACTGACTAGTCCTGTGCAAGATTTTGATGTCGAAAGGTTTTGGTGCTGGAAACGGTGCCAGAACAGCGCCGAATTTATTTTTATGCCGAAACGGCACCGAATTATATTAGCTGTGTAGAGACTGAGAAAGGATTAAGTTCAACCAATTAGATCATCAATATAAATGGCCAAAAGAAATCCAATTTTTAATTGATGTCTATTGTCCAAAGGGCCCATTTTCTCAAAAATAGAGGCCTGAAGTCCAACAAGGCCTATTTTAATGTCGATAATGAAGAAAAGTTAATTCCCTCAGGTCCGCCAGTATTAATAGTTTAGTTTAGTTTCATTTATTTCATTAATTATAGTGAAAGGTATATAATCTAATAGACTAGATGCGAGTAGAAATAATCTTGATTTACCTCATTAAATATTCAAAATTCAGTCAAAGTGTCATATTTGAAATCTACATGTAAAAGTACATCTAGAAATATGGTCCCGAAAATTGATTATCAACTTTGAAAATTTAATTTTTTTTTTGAAAATGTGACTTCTTGTTTGGGTTGATTCCCCATAGACCCCATGTTACAAAATCACAAAAAGTGAAATATTTTTTCTTGTATTGGACAGATAACATTTTCTTTTACTGGACATATTTTAATTTGCATAACTATTAGATACATAAGGGTTATATGAAAATTGAACCACTAAAGCAGATGTAATTTAAGTTAAAGGGAACTTTCTACTATACCCCCCATGCTATCTGACCCGAACGAGCCACCTGGTGGTGAAAGTGGCAACTACCTACTCGGATCTTCGTTATTGAAGAACATAAAACATAAGTATATAAGTTTCTCAACCATACCTTGTCATCTGGCTGTGTATTTTTTGTAATATCAAATGCTCCATACACCGCCTTACTCCACAGGGGGCTTGGGGCTGGGATTTCAAACTCCTCTGGCTTCACTAATCCATACGTGGCCTTCAATTCAAGCTCAGGGGCCTCTGGGGGAACTTTCTGGTGATATCTAAATGGACAGTTACCATTATACAGAGACATGTTATTAACCTTTTTTGAATTAGTCAATCTAGCCAGTCATGCCATTTTATTGAAACAAAAAAATTAAAAAATGAATTTCATTACAGCTCTGGATTTTGCTTGATATATATGTGGATAAATATGTCGCACATTAGATCATGGTTTGGGATAGTTGGGGTTTGTTTACCTTATGACTAGCACTTGTGTATACATATTCACACGTAAGTATATTTTATTTACGAAACATCTCATATCAACCCTGTTTACAAACATAGATGAATCACATTAAAAATGAGTTATTTTACATTATTACATTTGCATGACTTTTAATAATAACAAAAAGCACAATAGTTTCGCTGTCAAAGAAATGTCTTAATTTTATTTTTGCCTTTTAAAACACTTAACAAATATATTCAATTCCAAAGTTCAATATAAAAATCTTGAATACCACTATTTTTCATTTTTACTATCTTCATATACAAAGTTGAATGTTCACTTTGACTTTGATGATATTAGTGATCAAGGACAAATTATACATTAATTTATATACTGTATATTGAATGTCATTTGTCAAAGTTAGAGTCATTAAGTAAGAAAAGCTGATTCATATATCTGTCACTGTGGGTATTATAGAGTTCAAGGACTATGTCCATTTCTCATAAATACTGTTGGGTACTGGGTCAATGCTTCTGTGTAATATGTTTACTCTGTATATTTCACAACCCAGATATTGCCACTGTTATCTCCTATTAACAGTTGCCCCTCATTGTCCACAGCTACAGCTCGAGGGTTCTGTAGTCCATCTGATAATGTCAGGAGGTATTTGATAAACTTGCCATCTTGTCCTAACAAGTGAACTCTATGGTTGCAGTAGTCAGCCACTATGATTTTGTCTGCTGTATCTGTACAAACACCATTAGGGCAGTGCAGTTGGTTCAGTCCATTACCATAAGTCCCATACCTGAACAGCTCATTACCATCTCTGGTCATTCCCACCACACAGTGTGCACTGTAATCTGATACTATCACCACATCTTTGCTATTGACAGCTACCCAGAGAGGGTTATTGAAAAACCCTGTTTTAGCCTGAGTCATGATTCTGCCAGTTGCACTATCAATGTGATATACAGCATATGTATTCCGGTCACATATTACAAGTTCCCCTCTTGAGTTCACTGCAATACCTCTACATTGTTTCAATGTGGGTAGCTTTAAATCTCTTATGTGTTTACCATCCTCGTGGTATATGCTGACTGTATCAGTATGATTGGTGAGATATATCTTGTCATCATTAGTAGCAACATTGTCACAATTTTTACCAAATGTTGTCTTCAAAGTAAGATTCATGTCATAGAGATATGATGGGTTATTGTAACCGTAACCATTAGCTACCACTTTATTACTGTTAGTAACAACCAAATCCCATACTTGATGAATCGCATTTAGCTTATTCTTCTTTAAAACTCTTGGTTGAGCAACTTCTTTCATTGTTGTAGGTCTTTTAATGGATGTTGTGTCTTTCAAGTTCTGTATGTTCACCTTAGTAAACACGATTCTATCATCGTATACCTCACTTCTTTGAATTTTGAATGTAATATTAGTGTCAAACTCAGATGCCTTGGTATCAGACCATTCCTCCAATTTTGAAGTTATGTCTTGAGCCATGTTAGCCAATTGGGTAGCGTGTCCATGTTGTTTCAATGTTTGTAGCTGGCTCATTGTGCTTTCAGTTGTGGCCTTCTGCATTTCGAGGTGTCCTAGATGGGCAATTGCCTGTTTGGCACACGTGGCTCTTTTCTCAGCCACTAAGTTGATATTCTTTGTGTATTTATCCCGGACTGCTTGGAGAGCTATGTTCATATCATTGTTCAGTTCGTGTGTTACATTATCTGCTTCTTGCTCCATTTTATCTTTCTTGGTATGGGTGTTTTGTATGGTTTGTTCAAAGCTCTCTACCAACTTGTTACCTTTCTTGAGGAGGTCATCTATTAGTTTCACATTGTCTTCTGCAGCCTTATTGATGTCCATGCACTCATGGTTAGAATGGTTAATCACGTAACAAGTTGCACAGACTGCACACTGGTCCACTTTACAGTATATCTCAAGTGGGTTGGTTTTATGTTTATCACAAAACACTACACGCTGTTTTACAATGTTCAATGCACTCTGTTTATCTTGAGCCTTGTCACCTGTAAGGTCAAGTATTGTGTGACCTTTTAGAAGTTTTCTGTGGTATCGATCACAGTCCTTACAAAACTGTTCATTACATTGTAGGCATTTTGTTAAAGCATCAGTTTCTATTTGTTCACTCTCCTTACATACTGTACACTTGGGTTTGTCTCCAATAATATCCATAGATTGAAATAGATCCACTAATGAACTAGTGGTGAAATTGACCTTAAATTTTGCCACTCCTTCTTCCGGTATTGTGTGAACTTCTCGACATTCAGGGCAGCTTAGACAATGTTTATCTCCTTGTTTTGTTTTCTCTAATTGATCCAGGCATTTACAACAATATGTGTGCAAACATGGCAGTGCCCTTGGGTCTGTTAATGTCTCATAACACACCTTACATTTCAATGTCTCTTTGACTTGTTCCTCCATTGCCGTTGCCATTTTAACTTTGAATTGAACATCACGTGATGTTTTAAACTTCCTCATGTTCATTTTCACGACATAGTCAATGATAAACTAGTGTAGTAGATTTTTTATTAATTAATAAACACTATTCAAAAGCCCATTGCTTAAGTCTGTATATTAAGTGTATAGGTTCTCAAGTTCAAGCTATGTGTTGTGTTATTGGAATTCTGTTTTAACAAAAGGTCAATGTAACTTCAAATAGTAAAGAGGAAAAGTCTCTACCTAGTAAATGATTATTTCAATAGATATAATACATATATAGAAATCTGAACCTAGTAAGGATCAATTTATGACCTCAAAATATTCATACTTATGGATATAACTAAAGTTTAAATGTTTTCATAGTTTATTTTCAATTTTAATCTGAGATCCTCAATTAATTATTTATAATAATTAATTAATAATTAATCATTTTTTATAATTATCAATTTTACTCAGTTTAGAAAAATTGAAAAACAAAAAACTTTTTGATCTCATGATTAACATTATGCTTCAAGAAAGTAATCTAATCACTCCATCAAATCCAGGCATTTACAACAATATGTGTGCAAACATGGCAGTGCCCTTGGGTCTGTTAATGTCTCATAACACACCTTACATTTCAATGTCTCTTTCAATGTTTCAATGTCTCTTTGACTTGTTTCTCCAAGTCAATCTGGACCATCTCTATGAACACTTTGTACTGTAAATGTATAAGGCTGTGTTTCTCCTCAGCGAGTCTAATCGGAGATTCCCAATCAAAAACCATTAAATCTAGATATTAGCTACTGAGGAAATCAATTAACCTCTCACGATCGATTAACATTCCATGATAAACTAATCTTTTTGAACCATAATTAATAGATGGAAAAGGAACATTATAAGTTAATCAATTATTGTATTAAAATGTATGATGGAAATAAAATAACCGCTACAACATTATAAATTAATCAGATGTTACTACTTCATTTTCTCAATTCAATACAAAGGGTATATAAATGTGATTTAATTTTATTGTTGTCAAGTATATGTTCTTGAAACTTTTTTAATTTTTCTTAAATTTTTTTTGACCAACTTCCATAAAAATGTAGGGTTTTTATTGATGTATGTGCATTAGAAAGAATGTGGAATTTAAGCTTTATCCCCGGACACAGGTGATCCACTTGATTACGCTGATTAGCGAAACAGTTCGTTTCTGTAACAGAATGTCAGAACCTCAAGGGTACAATTTTTTTCTTATTACACTCATTGTAGGCAGAATTTCCACAACATTTTTTATCACAAATGTGTATCAGTATCATATGTTTAAGAAAATGTACATGTTGGATCAAAGAGTGGATCACCAGTGCCCGAGGCCTAAGAATAACTTCATGATAAAGCGTTTATATTTCTATATCGCCAGAATTGACAATTTATCCAATTCGCAAAGTTGCGTTTAATGGATTCGTTCATGTGTGAAAAGGCCTTTAATGTCTACTGATATTATTGACTTATTTGGTTTATAACCACCTCCTAAGCAGACAAAACGAATTATGTAATGATGTAAGGTAATACATCGAATTTCTTTGTCTGTGCTCATCAACAACTTGTCATCTCCAGGAAATAACTTGCCAGAGAGGACAATACAAACTCAATTTGCAAATCCCTCAACTACATATCTTAAATAATTGCCACTGAGAGTCATTTATCCAGAGTAATGTTTTGAATAACTGAGTTACTAGCACCAGGTTTCTTCCATATATTGCATTGTTTGGTTTCTTCCACATATTGTTTGGTTTTCTTCAATATATTGTTTGGTTTCTTCCATATATTGTTTAGTTTCTTCCATATATAAGTATTGCTATGCTAAAACTAGGGGATCATTTTATTTACAAACGAAACATGATTCATACATTTTTACTTAGGCCTCGTACAGGCCCATAGGGGTGTGGGGTGATTTTAATTGCGTAACATTGATTTATATACAGTAATATGTTATTGTATCTTAACCTGATACTGTAATAAAATCAAAATAAATAAATAATACAAGCATGTCACAAAATATGCTTGCTTAATAAGTAAGGGTCTCATACAGATAATTTCCATTTAGGTCTGGGAGAATGACTTATTTTTCAATCAATTATGATGGATGATTATTAATAAAAGATACAACTTAGACTATTACAAGTTTATTAAGACTATCTGTCTTCATTTTTTAAGCTGCGTGAACCATTTTGAGCATGTAACTACAGAATATGTTATAAATTGCTGAATTCCGAACTCTTGAACCTGAAATATCCGACAAATACATGCAAAACAATACTGAAAAGTTCATCTGTAAGAAGACAAGAGTCTCGTGAAATACAGTAAAACCTGTCTTGCTGAACACCTCTCTCAAGTGAGCACCTTTGAGCACCTTGACGAAGTGAACACTTTTTGTGGCTCCATAGGTGTTCACTATACACAGGTTTTACTGGAAATTGATAATAGATGGCATGAGTGTTTTAATTGTTAAATGTAAATAGAACAACATAGTACACAGTTTATTTAATTAATTCCATTTGGATTGGTACGTAAAAATCGTAAATCTTAATTGAAATAAACAACTTGATGGACTTGATGCTTTTAACATTGTGTCAAATGTGATAAAGCATGACACATTCAAACAAGGCATTAACATGCAAAATTTCACCACCTGCCATTTGTTACATATGTCAAGTGCTGTACTCTGTCCACAAACAAAGTTGGAGACTATAACAATATGTTACCACTTATGCAGGTGACATAAAAACAGGGAAAAAACGAATAGAAGATAATAATACCCAGAATTCTAATATTTCCTCAGATAAAGCAAATGTCTTTTAAGTTTAAAATAGAGATCTCCTGAATATGAATAAAAGATTTCAAAATACATAACTTAATTAATTTATATATACTTTATTATTAGTAGGGTATAAGGTTTGATCGCAAAATAATGATGCCAGTGACACCTTTAATTGAAGATTTCATTTTGTTTTTTCTAATAAATATTTCAGATCCCATTGAACTATTGAACTTTTGATTTTCCTATTATCTCTTAATGTTTTGACTAGATACTTAATAACATTGCAAAAATCGTAACATTAATATTAAGAAAAAACTGTTTTTACCCAATGAACCATATTCTCCTTTGTGCCTTTTGTATGCACTCTATGACCTGTCACAATCATTATGACCTGTCACAATCAGGTTGATGACAGTAACAATTGTCGTTTTATGGGGATCATAATCTCCACCATAAAAGAGTGACTATTATGGGGATTTAAGTACTGATGTATCATTTATCGCTGGCAAGTAAAGTTTCAGTGATGCCAATAGTAGGGGTGTTAAGCCCTGTAAACATTGGCAGGCGAAATGATTGAAATGCCATCTAAGCACTGAAATGATTGAAATGCCATCTAAGCACTGAAATGATTGAAATGATTGAAATGCCGTCTAAGCATTGAAATGATGTCTAAGCATTGAAATGATTTAGATGCCGTCTAAGCATTGAAATGATTGAAATGCCGTCTAAGCATTGAACCGATTGAAACGCCATCCAAGCATTGAAATGCCATCTAAGCATTGAAATGATTGAGATGCTGTCTAAGCATTGAAATGATTGAAATGCCCTATAAGCATTGAACCGATTGAAATGCCATCTAAGCATTGAAATGATGTCTAAGCATTGATATGATTGAAATGCCGTCTATGCATTGAAATGATTGAAATGCCGTCTAAGCATTGAACCGATTGAAATGCCATCCAAGCATTGAAATGCCGTGTAAGCATTGAAATGATTGAGATGCGGTCTAAGCATTGAAATGATTGAAATGCCGTATAAGCATTGAACCGATTGAAATGCCGTCTAAGCATTGAAATGATGTCTAAGCATTGATATGATTGAAATGCCGTCTTATGCATTGAAATGATTGAAATGCCCTCTAAGCATTGAACCGATTGAAATGCCGTCAAAGCATTGAAACGATTGAAATGATGCATGCATTGAAAGGATTGAAACATAATTTGCAGTGTATACAGGACTTTAGGTGTCATATTGTATTGAATTGTATTTTGTTTACCACCGATGAAGGTGAGCAATACCTCTTGGGTATATCCCGTATATATACGGTAGTAATTGAAATAATTAGCCTGGAAGATAGACTCAGAAACCCCTCTTCAAAGGAGCCCTGTGTTCTTTTATGTGCACTTATACATAGACATATAAGTACACACCACAGCCTTTTGTACGAGTTGCGGACCACTCAGTCAAACACCCTGAAGTACTTTACGCAAGCAAGCAAATTAAGTCTTGCCTGAACCGGGGATCGAATCTGAGACCTATTGCGTAAGGGAAACCTGTGCTACCGCTGAGCTATACAGCTGGACATACTGATCTAATATAAATTACATGAAACCATTAACTTACATGAAACCATTCTCTCGTTCACACTTCTCCAAAGTTCTCTTAAGATGTGTTCCAAGATTTTTGTAGAACGCATGTTCTTGGGGTTTGCATGTAGTCCCTGGGCCTTTTGTTGACGAGTAGTCCTTGCTAAGAGTGGTGGCCTTATCGAAATCTAAAAATCATAATTTGATAAATGATAATTCCTGGTCCAAAAAATATCAAGTACATAGAAAACATGCATGACTGTACATGGATAATATTTCAAAAGTAAACTCAATAATGGTCAATCATCTTATCATTATCAAAGTATATATATGTACTCATATAAGGTGTGGGTCAAATGTGGCCCAGATATTAGTCAAATATGGGGAAGATATTGGTCAAATGTGAATCAGGTGTTGATCAAATGTAACTCAGGTATGAGTCACATGTGAGTCAAGTTTGATCATGAGCCAGGTATGGGTCAAATATGAGTCGAGTATGGGTCAAATATGAGTCAAGTGTTTATCAAATGTAAATCAGGTTCGGTCAAATGTAAGTCAGGTATGAGTCACATGTGAGTCAAGTTTGATCATGAGCCAGGTATTGGTCAAATATGGGTCGAGTATGGGTCAAATGTGAGTCAAGTGTTTATCAAATGTGAATCAAGTTTGGTCAAATGTAACTCAGGTATGAGTCACATGTGAGTCAAGTTTGATCATGAGCCAGGTATTGGTCAAATATGAGTCGAGTATGGGTCAAATATGAGTCAAGTGTTTATCAATTGTAAATCAGGTTCGGTCAAATGTAAGTCAGGTATGAGTCACATGTGAGTCAAGTTTGATCATGAGCCAGGTATTGGTCAAATATGGGTCGAGTATGGGTCAAATGTGAGTCAAGTGTTTATCAAATGTGAATCAAGTTTGGTCAAATGTAAATCAGGTATGAGTCACATGTAAGTCAAGTTTGATCATGAGCCAGGTATGGGTCAAATATGAGTCGAGTATGGGTCAAATGTGAGTCAAGTGTTTATCAAATGTGAATAAAGTTTGGTCATATATGAATCAGGTTTGGTCAAATATGAGACAGGTCTTGGTTAGTTGTCAAATAGGGGTCAAGAATTGATCAAGTGATGAAGTTAATTTTGCTTCTTGAGCGGGTTTAACTGAATACTTTAACATGTAAAAATTACTTCATAAATCTTCTAAATAAAATTTCAATGAAAATATCCAAAATCTCATGATATTTAAACTTAAAGCAAGTTTGTAAATAATATGATGAGAAAATGTGATATTAATTTAATTCATTATAGTGTATTTGACATTTTAAGATACCAATATTTCTACATAAACCAGGATTTGTACGAATAACCCAACAGACAAAATAAGTGGACTGCCATCTATACGAGTCCTGGCTCCCAATTTAGAGCCTAATATACTAGGCTCTGATATCATGGTTACTATTAATGAACCCAATCATCCATTCCGGACTAAGGTCAAGAAAAGCTGACATCCCGGGATGAGAAGGAATAACCATGGTTACCTGAGCTTAAAGGTCCCCTGACCCACTTCCACATAAAAAGGAAATTAATCTGATTTGAAAACATACATGATTTCTTAATAAAAATCTATATTGTGCTACGTTTATCATCTACTGTCTATTAAAACAAAATATAAATATAGCCTAACAGGTTTTGTATATATTTTACGATGACATATTATATTACTTAATATCTAACATCCATTACCAGTTTCGATTTATAGCAAATAAAATAAAATTACGCCATATAACAACAAATGAGGGATTCTGTTTGGAATTTACGGAGAAACATTTGTGCCTAAAGAATTAGAAGAACTAGTAAAACATGACAAATAGTCATAAATGTCGCACTTTGGAGAGCAAAATGGTCACCATGTAATTTACCCAGCATGCCTAAAACCTAATCAGTTGTTTGCAATAGTCTGCACCCTTGCATTTGTAAATTAGTACCGTGGGTACTGGGCTCACATGGTGACAGAAAAAACCGGATATAATTTTTTGCTGAATTTTTGTAACAAAATTATTTCAAGCCACTTGCCACTATTTTGGACTGACTGAGAGACAGATGGACAAATCAATGTTAAGTAAAATGGCTGAGAAAAAAAACGGATTTAATTTTTTGCCAATTATTTGGAACAAAATTATTTCATACAACTACTCTTTACAGTGTCATGGCTTTTTGCAATGCAAGACACCTGAAATTTTTTGTAAAGCTAGAAAATAGGCCAAAATTGAATTTCGCGAGACAAAAATGGCGACCATTTTGAAATCAGGCAAGCTTTTGAACCAGGAGTCATAGGGGAGTTTTTTTGTATTGATGTTGAACAAAAATAATGTGAAACTGGAATCCTATCGACAGAGGTTTTAAGCAAATGGTTCAAAAGAGGATTTCGCAAGACAGATGGACAAATCAATGTTAACTAAAATGGCTGAAAATAAAAAAAACAGATATAGTATTTTGCCGATTTTTTGTAACAAAATTATTTCATACAACTACTCTTTACAGTGACATGGCTTTTTACAATGCAGGACAGCTGGAATTATTTGTAAAGCTAGGAAATGGGCAAAAAGTGAATTTCGCGGAACAAGAATGGCGACCATTTTGAAAATAGACAAGCTTTTGAACCAAGACTCATAGGAGAGTTTTTTGTATTGATGTTGAACAAAATTAATTTAAAACGGAAATCCTATCGACAGAGGGTTTAAGGTAAATGGTCCAAAAGTGAATTTTGCGAGACAGATGAACAAATCAATGTTAACTAAAATAGCTGAAAATAAAAAAATGGATATAATTTTTCGCTGATTTTTCGTAACAAAATTATTTCATACATCTACTCTTTACATTGACATGGATTTTTACAATGTAGGACACTTGAAATTATTTGTAAGGAAATGGGTCAAAAGTGAATTTCGCGAGACAAAAATGGCGGCCATTTTGAAAATAGGCGAGCTTTTGAACCAGGAGTCATAGGGGAGTTTTCTGTATTGATGTTGAACAGAAATAACTTAAAACAGGAATCCTATCGACAGAGGTTTTAAAACGTGCCACTGTTATTGACGGAAAGTGGATTTTGCGAGTCAGATAGACAAATCAATGTTAACTAAAATGGCTGAAAATAAAAAATGGATATAATTTTTCGCTGATTTTTTGTAACAATATTATAACATATATCTACCCTTTACATTGACATGGATTTTAACATTGAAGGACACCTGAAATTATTTGTAAAGCTAGGAAATGGGTCAAAAGTGAATTTCGCGAGACAAAAGTGACGGCCATTTTGAAAATAGGCGAGCTTTTGAACCAGGAGTCATAGGGGAGTTTTCTGTATTGATGTTGAACAGAAATAACTTAAAACGGGAATCCTATCGACAGAGGTTTTAAAACAAATGGGTCAAAAGTTAATTTCGCGAGACAAAAGTGGCGGCCATTTTGAAAATAGGCGAGCTTTTGAACCAGGAGTCATAGGGGAGTTTTCTGTATTGATGTTGAACAGAAATAACTTAAAACAGGAATCCTATCGACAGAGGTTTTAAAACGTGCCACTATTGTTGACGGACGGACAGACGGACAGACGGACAGACGGACAGACGGACGGACGGACAGACAGACGGACAAGTGAGTGATTGCAAAAGCTAATAACCATGTGAGCTAAAAATTCCAAGCTGATGGATAAGTAGTTTCCCTAGAAAAGTAGTTTCCCTAGAAGATCTATCGAAAATTCTGATGACAAAATATATGGAAAAATTCAAAATGGCCAACTCATAATTTACCCAGCATGCCCAATATCTAATCTGAAGATAAGTCTGCTCTTGCTATTGATGAACGGAACGGTTTTCCTGGAATTGTGACAACAAGATTAAAGGAAAAATTCACAATGGCCACCAAGTAAATTACCCACCATGCCCAAAACCTAATCAGATTTTGGCACTATTTTGCTCTTACATCTGTAAAATACCAGAACAATGGCAACGCCAAAGCGTAGCGAATCCCATCGAACAGAAATGGCTGGCATTTTTACAAACGAAATATATAGCAAATATCATAAAACAACACACCAGAAAGGCCACCATTTTCAAAATGGTTGCTCACTAGCCAAGTTGTCATCAGAAGAAATAATATGCTTTTAAGAAGCCATCTATAAAATTTTTGAAAAATCGCACACATGTACTTGTAAAATAACACATATAAAAATGGTGGCCATTTTTCAAAATGGCCGACTACTCCCCAAAGTTTTATTAGACAATGTGCCATGCTTAGAGTATTCACATAACAAATATGAACAAAATTGCTCCATTTCTTTTCGAGTTATAGTAAAAAATGTAAAATGACAGCCATTTTTTAAAATGGCCGCCTACTATCCGAAGTGTCATGAGACAGTGTGCAAGGCTCATGAGTATTCACAAATCAAATATGAACAAAATCACTTCACTACTTTTCAAGTTATAGTAAATTACGTTAAAATGGGGCCATTTTTAAAAATGGCCACCTTCTACCAAAAGTGTCATTAGACAGTGTGCCATGCTTTTAGTATTCACATACGAGTACCAAATATAAACAAAATCACTCCACTACTTTTCGAGTTATAGTAAAATACGTTAAAATGGCGGCCATTTTTCAAAATGGCCACCTTCTACCAAAAGTGTATTTAGACAGTGTGCCATGCTTATAGTATTCACATACCAAATATGAACAAAATCGCTCCACTTCTTTTCGAGTTACAGCAAAAATCGTAAAATAACAGGTAAAGGCCGCCATTTTTCAAGATGGCTGCCATGTGCTTTTTTAATATCTACATTTGTAGCTTTATTAATGTCCTTTATAATTTTTTTACATTTAAAACATATTGCTATTACAGTTTTACATATTGCACCTAAATTACTGTAAAATCAGCACTAAAATGGCCGCCATTTTGAAATGAGCGGCCATTTTGAAAATCGGCTTTCGAGCGGAACTTCTACCCCCATAGGGTATATGTGTACAAAATATGAACAAAATCGGGCCAACGGTATTTGAGTTATTGGCCGGACGGACGGACGTACGTACGTACGTACGGATAGAGGCATTCCCTTTTCAAAATGCGATAAAAATGTGATGTTTTCATCCTCATTACATGGACAGTAAATTAGATCACTTACATTTTACACTCTCTTGGAGACAGCGGATAGCTTCCCCACATTTGTCTTCTGCCAAAAGCGTTTCTCCATGGTAGGAATATGCCTGAAAAGTATCAAAAGGCTGGTTAGATGGTGTATTGGTATATACAATAGTCTCTGAATCAGGAAGTCCTGAGTTCAACCCTAGTCCCCATCACTTTTTGTGGATGAAATTATGGTCTATAGCTCTGTAATGACTATTTGGATTTAGAATGTTTTTATTTAATTAACTTTGAAATTCGTTTATTTAGATTTCAATTGTATCTCTAGCTTCATGAGGTGTCTATTCAATTACGCTACTCAGGCCCATAGCCAGGGGGTGGTCAATGGCCCCCTGGCCAAAATTTCTTTCAAAATCATGCACCATTCTGAGCCATTCTTGGACCAAAATTGTCAAAAGTGTGACCCCCCTGGAATTTTTCAAAAACTGAACCCCACCTTGGCAAATCCTGGCTATGGGCCTGCTACTTATACAATATAATATGTTTATTAGAATATATATGAATCCAAACATGGTTCACATAACCGAGAGCACCATATAAGTCCTTTAATTTCCCTTGGAATAACTTTTCTACACATACTTCTAGCAAAAACTCTTAATATTCTGACTGAGATTCTTGTATTATTTTATGGTAGATGTAAGCATGTCTTTCTATCCCGCCAATCATACTGTTAAATTTAGGGATCTCTAACATACGGGAGATAAGAGGGCTTAAAGATCACCAAAGTATAAAATCATGCTAAACCATGACATCTCATTTCTTCTCAGCCGTCTGGTGAAACAAAACAATATGGAGGAGAATCATTAAAACTTTTATGATGATTGCTTCTTCAATAGAATCCTAATTTGAGCAAATAGATCGATATTCCTTCCTATCCTCTTTATTTCTACACATAATAAGTACACAAGATGTCTCAGGTGTCTTAGCTATCTTATTAGCCATCCTAGTATGTTCTGAAGGTTTAAGAAAATGATTGATTTAAAATGAGCCAAAAGCAAATATTTTGCTTAAACTCAAACCTCTGCCTGGTTCTTTATATATTATTCCAATATAAACTAGACGGGCGAAATTAAACTAATTTCAGTTCAAGACTCCATATTCCAGATTTTTTATTTAAAAAAAAGATTTTGACTTCTGATATTGACGAGAAAATGATAAAGAAAATGTTTATGTTCTTTTCTCACTAAGTTTAAAAAACAAAATATTGAACAATATCGTAGTACAGGTAATTGCAAAAATTAGAAAATGACCTAGATTTTCACCTTGACCATCCTCAAAAATGTAATTTTAACCAACCTTTTAACGAGTATAATATGCAAATAAATAAAACTTTGACCAAGGCCAAGAAACTACTTCTTATGTGTGTGAGGAAGAAATGCCACATACAGGAATGCTAAACAAAATGGCAAAAGCGAAAACTATAGAATTACTTTACAATTGTTAATATTGCAAACCCTGGATATATCAATCTACTCATGCCAATTACACGAGGCTATTTTTCGCTTTTTTGCATATTGAGAATGTTTTTATAACATTTTTGTTTTTCCTTCTTATTTATTCAATGGCTAATGTCAATAGCATCCAGTTCTTGTGCTCATCAATAATGCAAGTAAATGATATTAAAAACAATTCATTACTTTGACTGTAGTTCAATGCACTTCTGTAGTGCCAAATGGGTGTTTAGACCTGAATCCGAATCCCGCCAGACTGACTTTACGCCCTGAACTAATTATTCTATGCATGCTATAATACTAAATAAGGTGATTAACAACTCATTAATAGAATAACTATATTTTCCGACTGTTGTTTGGGATTTCGATACAACTTTGTTTATAATGAATACAATTTTTAACGGATAATACAACTGCAGATGAATAAACATGAGTCACCAACTTACAATCTCAAAGATACAGCGACAGTGCCTAGCTGAGTGTGTTCAGTACTCTAGACCACCAAATCGACAAGCCCAAAAACATATTACATTACATTTACTAAAGTTCAATTGAAGAGCACCAGAGTATTTGACAATGACCTTTTTGTGGATTCAGGTTTTATTTTATAGGGGAGAATATTTAGAAATTGTCTGGTAATGTGATTATTAACATTTCGATTTTACATACCTTAATTGCAGGCCATTTATTAAAGTGCTCTAAATGCACTCATAAAAAGATACAAGGCATTAACATGCAAATGTCACCACCTGCCATTTGTTAGACACTGAACACCAGCCGCCACAAGAGAGTGGAGACTATGACAACATGTACCAATAAAACCATGGTTATTTTGGTGCTTTTACTTCTAAACATCAGTATACATTTATTTCTACCAAAGATTGATAAGGAATACCATATTAGTTCCTATTTCATAACCTAAGGAATACCATATTAGTTCCCATTTCATAACCTAAGGAATACCATATTAGATCCCATTTCATAACCATGCATTTAATCATTTTAAAAAATGTAATTTCCATCAGAGATTGATAACATGTTAATCTCCCTTTCATAACAATTTAATTATTTTAGAAAAGGTCATCAGAAATCAATTCAGTTTCTATTATTTATAGGGGTTGTATATCATACAGCGTTGATTTGTAAATATTATCTATTAAATGTAAATGTTATTTATTAATCTAATAATGAGCTTGAAAACAATGAAAATATTATGTTGTTCTTCAAAAAATAATATTACATAGAGTCGCTAATTAGGACAATTCTCCCACTAACTGAGTTTTATATATATTCACCATTTCCATCAAACTTGAATCTCTCCTTTTTCCACATGAGTTTAGAAGTTTTCAAGTCATTTTTAGAGGTTTTACATGTACATTATATTGCTTTCATGATCATGTTATATTGCTTTCATGTTCATGTTATATTGCTTTCATGTTCATGTTATATTGCTTTCATGTTCATGTTATATTGCTTTCATGTTCATGTTATATTGTTTTCATGTTCATGTTATATTGCTTTCATGTTCATGTAATAATGCTTTCATGTTCATGTTATATTGTTTTCATGTTCATGTTATATTGCTTTCATGTTCATGTTATATTGCTTTCATGTTCATGTTATATTGCTTTCATGTTCATGTTATATTGTTTTCATGTTCATGTTATATTGCTTTCATGTTCATGTAATAATGCTTTCATGTTCATGTTATATTTATTTTTGAATACATTTTTTGACAAAAAGTCCTTCAAACACCACTTTTAGAGATTCTCATCACATTTTGATATATTGGGTAGACTACAATATAAGCCAAAGTGGTTTAAATTTTAAATGGGGCCTTTAATTTTTGGTGACAAAAAAGTTGGAAAGCTGTAATATTTTCTTGTGATTAGAGTCACCCTATTGGCCAAAAGCTGAACTATTTTTCTTTGATCAGTGTCACCGTAGTCTCTGCATAGAAAGTCAATGAATAAGCCAAAATCAGGTAATTTCCTATGGGTAATTATCACCAAGCTGCCCTATGCATATAAATTGTAACCAATTGTAATTATCTGCTAAAAATAATTTGGTTACCCCTATAGAGTACTTTGTGTGACAAGCTTGTGAAGAGATATGAGAAAGATAGTGACAATCAAAAAGCATAGTATGCATATCATTTTGCCATCTCCCTGAGGGATGGTGTCGATAGTTGTGGAAGAACAAAGCTAGTTTTATTGGAGTAAGGGGGTAAACAGCGATATTGTTTTGTATAAAATTGATGTTTTGTCTCTATATTCTTAATACTACAGTAAAAACTGACTTTGTGCACACCTTTCTCTCATGAACACTTTTGTTTAATGAACACCACTTTAAGACACATTTTACATTTACTTCTGTATAAAATCCCCTCTCTGTAGTGAACACATACCTACTTACAGTGAACACTTTTTGTGGCTCCATAGGTGTTCACTATATATATAGTAATAGGTTTTACTGCATACTCAAATATGTCAGTTCTTAAAGACCTTCTATGTTCTTTACATAGACTAGAGTTATTAATCTGAGAAATAAGAGTAGTAAAATAGATTTGTTTATCAATTAACAAATCTGCTTGTATTTTCAATTGAAGAAGTCTTCCATAATACAAGTATATTTTATCTAAATCTTGTATATCAGCAGCTCAAGTTTTGTTCAAGAAATTCATTCAAAATTAAATATCAGGAATCCTCAAGATAATAGTATGTTTAATATGGCATTTAAAGTATTTTTTAGTAATCCCTGAGTTACAACGTTTTATATGGAAATTTCCATTGACATTTTAGCTTCTGTCTTTTTTGTAACGTTCTGAATTCTTATTATATTTCTTTGGAAATATTAACATAAGTCAAAATGTCATATGATAAAATGTCTTGATTTGAAACAAGCCTAATAAGGATGTAGAATGTTCGAAACAACTCCAGCGCATAATGCAGCTGATTTAAGGCTGTCACCTTGGATTGTTCGTATTTTATCATATCATAAGTATATCAGTTTATTCTATGTCAATGAATTATCTCATCTGCCACTCTAAGGTCATCATGATAAACCATCATAACTCATTTCTTCTCAGCCCTGAGATGTTTCAGGTGAAACAGAAAGATGCTATGAGTATCAGAATGCTCTAAGGTGGTTTAGCTTACACGTAAGTTGGAGCAATTGAAACCTTGAAAATCAGGATGGGATTATTTCAGAAATACATATATTGACTCAAAAATAAGACCAATAGACCTTTCCAATAAACCCTACCAATGAAATCATAATTCACGCCAATCATATAGTTACTATGATATACCAAAAGGTGGCAGGATTTATTGAGTGGGTAAATCAGACCATGAATGGACTTTCAATACAAATTTTCCACAATTTTGCACCTACTGATGTGACATCCTCCCATGCAGGTATCCAGAATCTGTACCTCCTTCTTCCCATGATATAACCAATTTGGAAGGTTTATTCCCATTTCGCCCCTTCCCATTTCGCCCCTTCCTATCTCGCCCCTCATTTATTCCCATTTCGCCCCTTCCCAATTGGCCCCTTTCCCATTTCAACCCTTTCCCATTTTGCTCCTTTGCCATTTCACCCCTTTCCCGTGT